CAGATTGTTGTTGGATTGAGCGCTGACAAACTACAGCTCAGTGAGGTAAAGGACTCTGAGTGTTTAGATAGTTCACTTTAGTCTAGTTATCTCAGTGGGGTCTCCAAACGGTTTGGTCACAATTTATGTACAAACACATTTTCCAAGGCACACCTTATAAATTATTAGGATAAATAAAAACAGGTTTGAAATCATTCCAATATACTATAGGACAGTAACCAAAAATATCGTTTAAAACTGGAGATATTAAAAAATATGCATAAATAAATAAATGTTAACTGGTTAAATAAGATATGAATGAACAACAAAAATAAAATACGTTAAATATATTTGTTATTGGCTATGGTAGGTTATTGGTTATGTTCACATACTTATTTGATTATTAAAATGTAAACCGATCTTTTTCATATGGGTGCTTTAGAGTTGTACCCCCTAGATCTAGTCTCTAATAATTCTGCTCAAAGTGCACCAGATTGAAGCATTTTACTTTAAAATGTTAAAACAAATGTTTCCAGGGGGGCATACCCCCGGACCCCCCTGGAGGATGTGACGTCCACCCCCCAATTAAAACATGTTCATACAATAATGAATACATTTGAAAGCTTCTTTATGTATATAACCAACATGTCAATAAGTTTCAGTTGTTGTAGTGTATTTGTCTTTTGTAGAGATTTTTCATTTATTCTTTATATATTCTATTGTGTATTGCTTGGAGGGGGGGGGGGGGCACCAAATCATAATCTGGCCTAGGGCACCAAAATATCTAGGGCCGGCCCTGCATCCATGGGTAAAGAGAAACTCATGTAGTGCTGAACACGTAACATGAATGTGCCGGGCAGCGCGGTCCCGTGGGTTAGATGCGCGTTCATAATGCAGAGGGAAATAACTCTAAGAATAACGTTATTAGCACATTTTACAACTTGAGGAACGAATGTTTTTAATAAGGGCTATACAAACGTTCATACTGGGTAGTTTATTTAGTTTAAAAAAAATTATTCAACGAGTTAGAGACCACAACGGAAGTGTAGTACCGCCGTTTGGCCACAACGAATATTCTCATCAGACTCCGGCACACTTCCTGGGGGCTTGGTTCAACCTCCACTGTCCGTGGCCGCAGCTAGACCCTTCTCAGCCACCGTAGTGTCGTGTCCGGTGGGCGTGTCGTGTCGTGTCGTGTAGTGTTGTGTACTGTCCGCGGCCGCAGCTAGACCATATTGGTATAACGAGCGGATACAGATTCCATTCGATCTGAGAATCTGACATCAAATCAGCGGCGGACCCACAGAAAGTTACTATCAGAAACAATGCCTGACGTGTTTTGGACGTCTTTGTTTACATTAGCAAGCCTCGCTACTCAGAGCCAGTGCCCTAGGCCCAATCTCTCTAGGGCTCTGCTCAGAGCTAACCTGTATTGAAGAGCACATGTGTTTATAAAGCAGGAAATAAAAAAAGAACTCACCTTGTGATAAACCTGCAAGAGAAAAAGCATTTGAGCTCCATACTATTTCAGAAATAATCCTTGACGTGGTTTAAATAGGATGGCGAAATATCACAACCGAATTTAACTTTATCTCCGGTAGAATTCTGATCAGGAATTAGCTCCGCCTCCTCTTATTTATTTTTTTCAAGCTAAGGACCCAAAATCTGCCTTTCTCTAATGGCGCGTTTCCACTGCAGGCCTCGCCGGTTTGGTTATATGGAACGCCCTTTGCGCCACAATTCGCGCGTTTATTCTCGCGTAGTTTCGCGCGGATTAACGGGGAGGTCCGTTTATTCGCGCGAAACTACGCGCGAATAAACGGGGAGGTCCGTTTTATAAACGGGGAGGCCCGTTTTATAAACAGGGAGACCCGTTTAAGTTCAAAGTCTCAGTAACCAATCAGTGAAGAGCAAAACCAGACCAAAGCAATCTGTAGATGAAAAGTTCCTGACATTGTGAGGATGTAAATTGTACGTTATTCCAGATTCAGGGGACTATGTATTAATTTGGCTTTCAATATAATAAATATATCAATCAATATAACCTGCCTTCATTGTCTTTTAAAATAAAATTGCCTTACCTTACTGAAGTGAAGGGTATTTATGTCTCCTTAAATCACCTTTTAAATGTACTTCTTATAACATGGCATGGTGTAACATATCAAAATGTTCAGTCTCTGGTCTTGCTAGAAATGCAATGTCACTCACCTTAGAGCACTGTCTTATGAGATAATTAGCTTAGAAATCAGATTTTTGGAAAACTTAAAAACTCTTGTGAAAACACAGATGTACTCATGTCATCCATTTTTTTTGGTGTTTCAGATTTGGTTTACCAACGTTTTTGGTTCACAAAAGTAGTGAAATATATGAATTACACTATAGGCCAATATAAATGTGTTGTTCATGTCTAAAATGAAAATGTGTAAATTAGAATTTGGAGTAAAATAGTTCTATCACTCTACTTTCACCACAGAAAAGTTACATCAGGACTGATTCATGACAGCATATTCCATACTGAGGTTCATGTGATGTGTACAAATACAAATTGAGCATTACAACTTCTTTTTTTCAACCAACTATTTATGTTAACATAAGAAACTGTAACATCTCAATATTTACAATACAGGGTTCATACACTTTTTCACCAATGATTTTAAATGACTTTTCCATGACCAAAGAAATGACTCTTTCATATTCGAAATATTGAATATGTTACAACACAGTTTGCATTTAGCACGTCTTGGCTCAATGTCTTTTGATAACCACAATTACTTATTCTTTAGAAGCCATACATTGTTGAAACTGCACTTCCCTGGCATCTTTATATCAAATAGTAGCTCCTGTAGACTAGAGGGCATGATTGTAAACATCTCTCACCAGCAAAATACTGCCACAGTTGCCATTTTACGTTTCATTATACGATACAGTATTTATTATCATTATAGTATTACTATTTCGGCGATTAGATAACATATAAATTATATTTGATGCAACTTTAGTTATATTTCCATGACTTTTCCAAAACTTTGGGAAAAATATTGCATTCCATGACTTTTCCAGGTTTTTAATGACTGTACGAACCCTGACAATATCAGAACTTTCTCAACCAACTATTCATTATAAATGTAAAGACAGGGGGAGCAGTGCCATGGTCTTTGTCTTTCTTCCAAGACAGTGGGTCTGGCTGCTGTGTAGGTGGGGGTGATGGTGCATGGGCTGCTGGTGGCTGCTGGTGGCTGTGTCGGCGGGAGGGAGGTGTGCTAGGCGAGACTTCTTTGCTGGCTGGGTTGATCGTGATGGCTGTGGTGGAGGCCTTTGTACCGAGGTGTATCTTAATCTTGTGGCAGGCACAGATGGAGGTGGAGGCTGCTGTAGTGATGCTGGCCCTCTGGTCCTTGGTGGTGATGGCTCTGGCGAAGGCCCTTGAGCCACGGTAGATCTTGACCTGGGTGCAGGCACAGATGGAGGTTCTTGCTGCTAGGCCCAGGCAGCTGTGAAATCGGAAAGAAATGTAGGACAATAATTACTACTAAGTTCATTGTGGTTATCAAAAGACATTGACCCAAGACGTGCTAAATGCAAACTGTGTTGTAACATATTCAATATTTCGAATATGGGCGAGGCAGCGCATGCTAGCCACATGAAAGAGTCATTTAAAATAATTGGTGGAAAAGTGTATGAACCCTGTATTGTAAATATTGAGATGTTACAGTTTCTTATGTTAACATAAATAATTGGTTGAAAAAAAAAGTTGTAATGCTCAATTTGTATTTGTACACATCACATGAACCTCAGTATGGAATATGAAGTCATGAATCAGTCCTGATGTAACTTTTCTGTGGTGAAAGTAGAGTGATAGAACTATTTTACTCCAAATTCTAATTTACACATTTTCATTTTAGACATGAACAACACATTTATATTGGCCTATAGTGTAATTCATATATTTCACTACTTTTGTGAACCAAAAACGTTGGTAAACCAAATCTGAAACACCAAAAAACATGGATGACATGAGTACATCTGTGTTTTCACAAGAGTTTTTAAGTTTTCCAAAAATCTGATTTCTAAGCTAAGTATCTCATAAGACAGTGCTCTAAGGTGAGTGACATTGCATTTCTAGCAAGACCAGAGACTGAACATTTTGATATGTTACACCATGCCATGTTATAAGAAGTACATTTAAAAGGTGATTTAAGGAGACATAAATACCCTTCACTTCAGTAAGGTAAGGCGATTTTATTTTTAAAAGACAATGAAGGCAGGTTATATTGATTGATATATTTATTATATTGAAAGCCAAATTAATACATAGTCCCCTGAATCTGGAATAACGTACAATTTACAGCCTCACAATGTCAGGAACTTTTCATCTACAGATTGCTTTGGTCTGGTTTTGCTCTTCACTGATTGGTTACTGAGACTTTGAACTTAAACGGACCTCCCCGTTTATAAAACGGGCCTCCCCGTTTATAAAACGGACCTCCCCGTTAATCCGCGCGAAACTACGCGCAAATAAACGCGCGAATTGTGGCGCAAAGGGCGTTCCATATAGTTAGGCCTTATTAGGCCCGTCTCACTTTAATGCTGCGCTTCCAATACAGTTTAGGAACTGGGGCAGTTACTATAGTAACGCAGTGTAGGCGGAGCCGTGACGTCATCTTCAATGAGAGCCCCAGAAAAACAACACAGCCGTTAGCTCTTAGCACTCAGAGCTCACAGCTCTTCATATCTGTTCAGAAACTAGACAAAAGTTAAACAAGTACAAACCACAGACTGCCTGTGTCATGGCGAATACAGTCGCTGGTTTATTTATGTCTGTATAGGCCATTGTTATGAGTGTGGACGGTCGGAGCATATATAACGTTAGCTTAGCCAAGCTCCATTTAGAAAACACGCATTGGAAACGTGCCATAACAGGGTTTCAAAATAGAGGTGTGAGCAGTATGAGGGATGGCTACAATGGGTGATCTGTTTGGTATTTTGAAAAAAAAACTTCACAGACATGTTTTATATACAATATATACAATACAATATATTTTTTTAAATATAGCATGATAGGTCCACTTTAATTTACATAGAATTTAACAAGGTGTTTTAAAGGATTTCTTAATCTCTGGTGCTGAAAAAAAAAAAATGTGTTTCATAAAAATAATGTTAAATCCCTAGGTAAGGTATTTTAATATCAAATTGTGCTAAATAAAGCACACTTTCCTGTAAAGGGCAGAGGAATTGATAAGAGATTAAAGTTATGTGAACTCAGGAGGTGTGTGGCGCAGTGGTTAGAGACTTGGTGTTGGGGTCAGGTGGTCACAGGTTCAAACCCCACTGCAGTCAGCATGTCGTTGTGTCTTCACCCCAAATTGCTCCTGTGGAGATTGCCCACAGTATTGAGTATGTAAGTTGCTTTGGATAAAATGAAAACTGTGGACATATAATCCATCACCTTCGTTTCGCTGACATAAATAAGAGAAATATCAGAATATGATACTTTGATCGTTGTACCAAGCCCAAATATAAAGAAAGCAATTTGACATCCTGGGACATCATTATATAAAGAATATCCTTTGGAGTTTTTTACTCTACACAAACAGAACTTTATTGATCTTCATCTTCATACATTGGGTTCAAATTTAGAGTTACTGCTAACATAATTTATCTTCGTCGTAATGCCAAATTGCATCGTCTACTTTTGCTATTCTTGTGCTCTTACAGACAGACATTACAATTCAATTTAAAAGGCCATGAACTATCTCTCAATGTCAAAAAGAGGGAACAATCATTTGTGTGTACGCCCCATGATTCAGATTTGCTTGATGTGAACCAAAATGTAAGTTTCAGTGAAACATGCTGAACTCTTCCACCTAGTGTCATAACAGTCAAGCCATTAGCTTTTCTGTACTCTTGCTGACATCAACTGAAAACAAACCTTTTAATGGCACATGTAATAAAAGAGTACGGTGGCTGAAAAGGGCCAACGCGCTACAACGCCTAAATTCATTTGCATTAGGAGGAACACGCTGCAGCTTCAGAAACATTGCAAATATAACGTTGACGTTCGGGGATTATAAAGTTGGCCAACTGTCAGTCACTAAGAGCCTAAGTATTTTGTCAGTATATTTGAAATGACTAGGTTAGCCACGTTAGCTAACAAGCTTACAGCAGATCGGAAATAAAATCAGAAGGAAGATCATGTTTAAATTAGCCAATAATATTATCATTTTAGGTTTACTTATAGTGTAACTGTGTCCGTATTTTCAGCGTTTTGTTAATGTAGGGCTTTTAGTAAACGCTGCATGTTTCGTCAAATTGGTGAAGATGTTTTCCAAATGCCTCGTATGTATTGTCATGTTGATGAAGATATTTTGAAACTAAATCACTTATCTCCTAATGGAAACGTTTGTAACCTTTGTTGTGCCACCGTAATAGAGGAGCCTGCTCATAAACAAAAGCCAGTGCCATATAATTCAAAAGCTCAAAAGGATACCTTTAAAAATACATTTTACTTCTCTATTAGACACTGTGTTGCTAGCGGGATAACAAAAAAATCATGCTTTGTTTCATAGCATATCAGTCAAATGTATTTTATTTACATACTGGTCTGGATACATATTAATTTGGTGAATGCACCATGCATACAGAAAACCTTAAAACTCCAGCCGATGCCCTTCATTGTCACAGCATACGATACGCAACTATGTGCTTTGCAAGTTACAGACAGAGCTTTATACCATAACACATGGACATACACGTGTGTCCTTGTTAAACACAGCCTTGCACTACACAGGGTTTCCATCTGTATACATATTCTTTGATTAAAAGTTGAAATACAAACCATTTTGAAATACAATTAATGTCCATGTATGAATTAACATAACATATAAACCACACAACACATGGGATTGTAGATCTTTAGAGTATGTACACACAACTACATTTACAATAATACAATTTGTGAAAGCCTAAAAAGTTGTTGGTATCGTCTTTATAACAAACTGCACTTAATATAACAAAGCACATATTGTATAATAGAAAGTAAGTGTTGATTTGCAAGTGTAAGAAATCATACACTGATTCTGATCGACACTTTTTAAGTATCTGGAAAAAAAGATGACATGGAGTTTTCAGTCAGCTCGATAAAAGATCTGTGTATGGAAGGTGCTTAATTTGTAAGCCCCTCTTTCACCAAACAGATTTTTGAAATAATATGACAAGGAGAGAAAGCTGCTTTGTTTCATTTCAAACTCAGATTAGACAATAAAAAGCGGAGGTAAATTGAGAATGTTTGGGTTATTTTTTTGCAAATTTAGAGTCAGCTGGATTTAAAATAAATGCTAACAATTACAATTTTCCTTTGATATTTTAAATCTATTTCCCTTAAAGAAACTGGTACTACTTTGATATTTATCTGGTAAAAACCGTTGCAAAATTCACCCTTGGCAACATGTTTTAACATCAAGCAAAAAAGAAAAGCAATGGCTTTTAGCTGAAGGATCAAAGTAAGGTAAAAGCAGACTCATAGGCGTGGGAACGATCCCTCTCCGGGAAGAAATGGAGTGAACGTGGTCTCTCAGCGGTGTGGCTGGAGGCCGCCAGGGCTGTGTTAGGCGGAGGACATTTCCATGGTAAGTAGGTGCATGCAGGTTTCATAGTAACACGGTGATGGAGTGAGAGGGAGGCTGAGGAGAGGGGGGGGGGGACTGCCGGGATCCACCCATGACATTTGGATTCAATCTTTTTATTCATGGTCAGTCGAGAAAGAGAAACCCACTGTTCTGCAGACGCACAATTTCATGGATATCGTTCACTGAAGGGCTGTGAGGCGTGGCACGCGTGCGTGTGTGTGCGTGTGTGTGTGTGTGTGTGTGTGTGTGTGTGTGTGTGTGTGTGTGTGTGTGTGTGTGTGTGTGTGTGTGTGTGTGTGTGTGTGTGTGTGTGTGTGTGTGTGTGTGTGTGTGTGTGTGTGTGTGTGTGTGTGTGTGTGTGTGTGTGTGTGTGTGTGTGTGTGTGTGGGGTCAGTGATAGCCCAGGCAGAGGGAGGGTATTTCACAACAGAGTCAGTTCTCTTTGAGATGATTTCCCCTCTCGTTCTGCCTCTTAGAGTCCTGTCAGTCAGAGTCTCCTCAGGTTGTGCTCCTCTGTGCAGGAGCCTTTCCTCAGAGTGATGTCGTCCACGGCCATCTCTCCACTCCGGCCCCGCCCACGCTCCCCCTTCAGGATCACCTGGGGAACAGCAGGAGTGAATATTGCAAAAAACTAAAATACAAATTAAATGCAGTTTTTTGTTATTACTATTATTAATATTGGAGCTAAAGCACTGAACATGTTTTCCTCTTCTCCAGCAACATGCACACTGAGGAACTGCTGGAGAGAATATTGCAACAAAATTAAAAGCACTTATATACTAACTAAGGACTGGCGTTGTATGTTTTTGAACAGGGTTATGTAAGTGTGTATGAATGTATATTTGTGAAATCATTATGTTTGTTTAACCCATGACGAGATATGAACTGTATGAGTCGTTGCTTTGTAATCAGCTTTAATTTAACTATACATATATTACTGCTTATATTTTCCAAACAGTAATATATTTGTTCCACTTTTTCTTTCAAAGTTATTTTCTTGTTTCCTTGTTTCTTTGCTTGTGATTGCCATGTAAAAATATAAGATTAGATTCTGAGCAAAGTGCATCTGTTCATGAAATAAGCCGATACATTTTAAAAAAAGCAACTGCTACTAAGCATACATTTGAAGAACTTCTACCTTTTAATAATATGCTACCTTGTATTTTTCCACGAATATACAATTTGGAGGCAAATGTTGTACTCTTTACAACACTACATTCATTTTACTGTATAAGCAACTCTGAAATCGACTATACTTTATAGAGTACTTTGTGTACTAAACATATTTTTCTTAGCTAATAATTTTGTACTTTTAGTTTAGAAGGATTTTGAATGCAGTACTTTGACTTGTAACAGAGTATTTTCAAAATGTAGTATGGCTACTTTTATTGAAGTACTTCTTCCACCACTGCTACAGAGAACATGCCACTTTATGATGAAAAAGGAGCTGCATGTGTTTATTCCCGAGGCAATCTTATATTTCACAGATACATTTTTTTGAGTTCTCCGTCTCAGATTTATTTTTCATAAACCGGGAAAAAAACATTCGACATTCTGTCAAATAAGTTGAAATAATCATTTAAAATGTTCCCTGTATGAGTGAACACTGAAATATTTATACTTACACTTTCCAAGCCGGTGCCCCATAAAGTGATTTGGGTGTGCCTCCAGCCATTCCCCCCCGTCCGGCCCCAGACTGCAGGGCTGTACTGCTTCCCTTTCTTCACGAACACTTGCAGCATGCCCACGTGATGGCCGGCCAGCTTGTGTCTGAACGACAGGCACAGGTTGCCATCGTTCCAGGGAGGGGTGAGGGGGAGCACCAGCCGCGCCCCCCGCCCTGTCCTCTTGTTGCCCACCTCGGGAATGGTGAGGTACCGTCCACCTGGAGAGAGAAGCAACAGATCTAAAGGTCACCTATTATGCAAAATCCACGTTTTCATGTATTTTCTACATCAACCTGTCAGATTTTGGCCACTTTGTGATGTCATAACGTTTTTTTGGCTCGTGTAACCATTAGCCAATCACCAACCAAGATACCCCCCCCCCCCACCTTATCGCCTGAATCTCCTCCTAGAGCACCACTGAGTTATTTTTAACCAAATCTCTCTCAGAGGGGCGTGGGGAGGGGCTCCTTATTTTCATCTAAAGTAACAGACAGAGAATCAGCACTTTTGAAACAGGGCTGAAACAGAGGGGATTATGGGATGCTGCAATGATCATGTTTTGTCTCTTTTTTGTTTTAGACCTATAATATATTGATGAAAAACAGTATAATAGGAGACATTTAAACAAATGAATATACACAGAGTAAAATGGTTTAGTCAATAAGGTCAACACTGAATACGTTGATGACACTAGCTCCTCTAAGTGTAGCACTGAAACATTCCAGCACTGATTGTACATATTTTTCTGAATTAACTACTATTTTTTTGTAATAGACACCAGTTTGTTCACATATGCCTAATGGCTTGAGAAACTTTCTAAATTGATTTTAATTGGGTTTTACTGATCCAAACAATATTGACCTCAATTTGATACAAAATGACTTGAAAATGGAAAACAAATGACACCATGTCTCATTAATTAAAGGGCATTGGTTCACCCTAACAAACAAACAAACCAAAATAACATATTTTCTCCATTACCCAATGAAATCAAGCCATACAGAGAGTTGTGGTTTTATTTACAGAGGTTATCTGTGTGTTTTTTGTTGCTGCAAACCCAGCAGAAAGTAGTGAGTGAATTTGTATTTGTGATGTTTGGCTCTCCATAAACACTATATACTTATATTTGCTCTAGGGTAATTGACAGATCTCAATATGAACAGTTTTTCATTGGAGCTACCACTTCATGAACAGTCCCAACACAAACTGTTGACGACGAGGTCTGTGATCGCCCTGAATCAGTGAAGACGTTTCATGCAGTTGAAGTATTGTGAACTTGCAGTATTTTATTTAGTTATTTTATAGGTTTGCCTTTATTGTATAGTCAGGGTTGAAAGGAGAGACATGGGGATGACATGCAGCGATGGTCCCAGGCCCGAATTAAAACCTGGATCCCCTTTTGGCTCAGGATATTTTTGTTGTATTGTTTGAGTGACAAAACCCTTTCACCTTATTGTATTTGGGTGCCAGCCAAACCAAAAACGAAAAAATAAATAAAAATGGTTGTACTTTGGCGATTTACCCTTTAACATGTATATTTAAAAAGGTAATTAGTTAGATAAGTCAGTCTGTCTAAAACACATAACATTATATTTCATCATTGACAGCCAAGTGTAAAAGACAATCTGTGAAAAAAACTGCATATTTTCAAAAAGACTTGTGTTTCGTCACCTCAAAGTGGAGCCCGATGCCAGTGGCACATTTATTTTGTTTTTAAATTAATGTATGCATTAGTTAGTAATAATGGCGCGATATAGTTCTGAAAAATGAAAGGCTAAAGTGCTCTTGGGAAACAGCTGATTAATGCTGATGCATTATGCTTATCTAGCAGATCCGTGTGGGGCTGCTGTTAACCACGGGGGGTTCGATGTGTATCTGCGGGCCACAGAGGCTCTCTGCATACTTTATGAGCCCCTTCTGTATCTGTGCTAGTGGCTGTCTATCAAAAGGACTGTAAGTGAGGAACAGTGCATGCTTCACAACACAATGAAGATGTATTTAAAGCCATGTACAGGTGCACACTGTACACACAGGAACCCATAATTAAGACACTTAAAATGTTCTGTTTAAATGTATTCACTACATGTAACTCAAAACTGAAGTGTTGCCTCTAACATTTGGAATTACTCTTAATTAGGGCTTGGTTTACGATTTACTGTCAGTGATTTTTCAAGTGAATGTAAATGTCTGGGCAAAAACCTTTATTTTCTGTAATGAGTGAGCGCAGTCTTGGCTGAAATTAGGCTTCAGTCTCAGTGTCTGAAAACACACGAGTAAATGCAAGACTACGCCAATTGGCGGAGAGAGCCAGATGTAGTTAGCGTCGCTTAAAGAGTGCCAGTACGCTGCACTGTTTAGTCTTCACACGCCGTCTACTGAGTCCGCTCAACATAATTTATCACGCTTTCTTCTTGTCTGAACCCCAAGAAAAACAGTGTCGTGTTTCCAATTAATGTGAGTCACAGGTATAGCTGACAGGTCACGTAATCCACTTCTCATTTGCATTGCTTTGTAGAGCAAAGCACTAATCCGCATGAAAGACAAACTACTTCCCACAGGGAATTTTCCTCTTGACCTTTAATTGAGTTGAACAGAATTGAGCTGCTTATATTGTCTGACTCTGTGTGTGTGTTTGCATATATATATATATGCCTGTCAGTAAAGGAAAACAGCTATTCTTTTTTCCTATCACTGACTTAAAAAAACAAACAATTTTCTTTGTGAGAGTAGCCCTTCACTTACCGGATGGATCAGGCGTCGTCTCCCAGTGCAGGTCTCCGTCTTTGTCCCTGATCCAACCACAAAGACCATCATCAAAGGAGCAGCTCAGATACCCCGACTCTAAAGGGAATAAAACACAATTTTCAGAGAAGTGGAGGATGCACACGCATGCAAAGAGGCTTCATTGGGCTCTCTGTGATGCTTCACAGGAACCCTGCTGTGTGACTGTAACGTTACCGGGAGCCAGAGGACTGTTGAAGCTCCTTCTGTCGAGCATGATGAGACAGGAAAAAGTAAACATTTGCTGTGCTGTTGTTTTCATTAGGGAAAAATCAAGTGGAACTGCATACTGTAAATCACAAGTGGGAATGCATTCATCTAAAAAACACACATTTAATGTTGCATGCATTGATATTACTTTGTGTGTGTGTGTTTAGGAGAGAGAGTGTACTTTTACATATACAGCCTGTTGTATGGCTACCCTCCTCCACGATAAAATACACTACAGTTACAACACAGTGTTAATATTCAATGACTGATGTTTTCTTTCCCAGCGTTGATGCCTAGATGATAACATTAAGGGAATGCCGGCAAAACTGTTGCGGTATCATCCATGCATGGCTGTACAAATTGGTTTGGAGATAAGAAAAGCATCCATCATTTTATCCCTGAAAACACCTACCGCAAAACATTTCTCAGTTCATTTTCTGAGCCAATGAAAATGCCTTTCACTTGACATAGCATAGCAAATGATGCACCGTGAACCAAAATAAACACGCGACTAAACCATTAGGCAATTTAATCTGCCTACCATTGACATCAATAAATCACAGATCGAGCAAATGTGACATAAAACGCTGTCTTTTCACAAAAGCGATTTTCTTGTTGTTTCTGAAGGAACTCTAAACTATGTACTATTGAGCTTATGAGTGGAGCTCTGATTTACTTCAAAAGGATCAATTCATCTTTCAAGTAGTCAAGCAATCAAGCGAGCGTAATATGTAAAGTGGAGAAGGTTTGCAGTACAATCTGGGCTGTGAGCCATCATTTAAAAGGAAACGGCCAGATGTCATGTGTCACCTCCCAGTGAAAGGCCTATCAAAACACATCTGGTCACTGTAATATCGTCGCCTCGCGAGCAACCACTGCAGGCGTTGATTGTCAGTTTCATTTGCCCGTGGTAAATGTGGCTCGTCCATCATCATTTGAAGGCTGCCGTCTGCTATGAGCAGGGCTTTGGATGATTGGCTCTGTCGAACGTGTTGTGTTTACCTGGGTCGTCCTTGGCTTCTTCTGCCGTGTTCCCGAGCTCAATGTCAAAGTCCACGCCAAGGACGGTGTTGCGATCGTGGTTCCGAGGAACTGTGGAGAGAGGTGAGACAGGGCAGGTTTAGATAAAGGATTAACAAAGGTATTATATTTGCTCACTGGCATCCCTGCTTTTGACTTTTGCCTTGCTTTTTTTTCATTACTATACAAGGACTCTGCAAGGATGAATCAATGTCACGGTTTAGTGCCTGCATATCTAGAGTTAAGCACGGTTAACCACACAGCACCTGACCAGAATACCTGAGAAAAATCAGCAGAAGTCAAATGTGAGTCATAACAAGGAGAAGACGGATGGTTTACTGTGATGCAACGTCAGTGCAAATGTTGCCGCCACACAACATGGAGCTAAAGTCCATGCACATGAAAATACACAAACAGTACACCGCCCTGAAATAGCCTGTTTCCTTCTCCAATGGCATCACACTGCTCAAAATACTATAAGCCAAGCTCTCTTATTAAAGGTCGACTGACAAGGGAAGGACAGAAAGTAGTTGGTCCTGCTTTCACAGCTGCAAGCATTTTGGGGAAATAAAAGCTTTGGCTGTCTGAATGGAAAAATAAACTGCATTTATAAAACACTTTTCCAGTCTTTGGGACCCCTGAAAGAGCTTTTACATTTACAAGACAGCATTCACACACATTCATACGGAGACAGGGGCTGCCATACAAGGTGGGGATCTAACACTGTTGGACAACTATCTATTTCCTGGGCCACAGACGCCCCTACTAGTAAGCAATAAATATCCTTTACTGGTTTTAAATTGCCTTTATGAAGAGGTTCTGTATAAAGAAACGTGACAAACCTCATCAGTTTAGTATGTATTGCATTTGCAGATGAGATAAGTCAGTGGAATTGACTGAGACAACTATCAATAACACAGTTCCCAGCATCCCCGGCAGATTATTGCCCCTATGCTGTGAATGCGCTGTAACCTGCACTTGAACTGCCAATCCCCCAGACTCCCCAACATGTAATCCCCCCCCCCCCATCCTGAGCCTCTCAAACGGGCCACCCATCCCCAAGAAGGGTCACAACCACCTGGCAGACTGAAATGCAGTCTGACAGTCGAAGGAATCTGACAGTGGGGAGGTCACACTCACACCAGGGTCTCCAGATATCCCAGGCATCCAGGTTTCTGTGAGTGTGTGGTGTGTGTGTGTGTGTGTGTGTGTGTGTGTGTGTGTGTGTGTGTGTGTGTGTGTGTGTGTGTGTGTGTGTGTGTGTGTGTGTGTGTGTCTGCTTTTAAAGAACGAGACCCCCATTGATTTCTTGTGTCCGCTCATAGAGTTGATATATAAAGAGTAAACACAACACAAGTTAGGGGAGCAGTAACTTGAACAGTGACACTTGTGAGCATAAAATAGCTGTGGGACAGGAGAGATACACTGTGCCAAGGAAACTGTGTAATTGTATAGGTTGTATTAATTTGCTCTGATGCCATAAAGCATGGGGTTAACCAAATCTTAAATAATGTTGATTTTAAAACTTTTTTCTCAGAAACAAGGTCCTTAACACTTCCTATGAATGAGATATATTGACTTTGATGCTACTAAGAATCAGTTACTTACTCAGTACAAAATGGATATAGGTATGTCACATTGACTGAATATAAAATATACAACCACACACAATCACATTTGTAAAAAAATATAGATTTGAAAACCTCAATAACCATGTGTCTTGTCAAAAACAAGGGCCCTGTAACTAGATTTATTTACTCTGATTCCAGTAACTTGATCGGTTTAAGAACAAAACATCTTAGGTATAGGTGTGTCACATTGACTGGATGAAAAATACACAACCAGACTAAACCAAATCGCCTAAAAAAGGGTATTATATTTAATTTGTGCTGCTCAAATCTTAAAAATGTAGATTTAAAAATGTCTACAGCCATATATTTTCTTAGAAACAAGGTCACTGATACCTTGTAAGATCCACAGACCTCATTGTTAACAGAAGTGATTTTTTTTCTTAAGAAGAACTTAACTCAATTGAACTTTCCAAAGCAAGGAACAGTGTATTTTCCGGGGCTGTGTTGGACAAGACCAGAGTGAAGTTTGGAAGTGACCCTGTTAACCTCTTATTTGTTGAACAACTTACCTTCTAAATGTCACTTCACTGGACACCCTTGTTTTTTGACCTTTTGTCGGTAATTTCATCCACATTTCTGCTTGAGGGGAATTATTTTTTCTGCCTAAATGTTCAGCAACTTCAACTTTTTTGAGACTAACATTCACTTATGACATTGACAGCAAAGCATACAATGTCATAAGTGAATGTTAGTCTTTTAAATACAACGTGACTAACCTTCCCTTTTAAGAGATGACACAAGTAATCATATTCATATGACAACCTTGAATTCTTAGTCATTGTTTTGCATTTGTATTGCAATAGAGAGGAGGTTGTAAGGGTTTGATTAGCTTCTGATATTTGAGGGTGTTTTCTTTCACAGAGCGGCATGTACTTCTTTAAGGAAAATACATTAAAATGTTGTTAAAATATGCTTATTTATTTTCTCGCTGAGATGTAGGTGAGATGACTGATAACACTCTAACGTGTTATCAATCTTCTAATTTAATCTTCCTGCAGGAAATGTAATTTGTGTAATTCACAAACTAGAAATAAGTTGAAGATAAACCAGTGCTGATTGTATAAGTCCAGCGTTCTTTATAAACACCTGCACTTGCTGAGTGGTTCTTCATGTCCTGAGGATCTTACTCAAATTCATTCCTATTTCTGTGTAATTATGCGAGTAATCACTCAGCGGTGTCCCTCCTCTCATCTTATTCAAACCATCTTCAGGAAGCTCGGATTCCTAGAACTGCTCTGCCGTGGTGCGAACTATTAGATTGATGTCTCCTTCAAGCAGTGCAGACAGGTGCTAATGCAATCTTCTCTCTTCTGTCTTCTTTCTAATTCATGTGAAGCCATCTGGCAAGGTGAACCACAGAATCTCCACTCTTATCCTGTACTTTGTCGTTATATCACACCAGATATTTCTGTCTCAAAGCATTTGCTGTGCATAATTGAGCATGACACCAAAAACAACACTTCTGTCAATGTTCAAATACAAGTTTGTGCACAATTGACAATAAGTGCGTCTGGAGTATACTTTCTATTCTAATATAGCCTTTTCTGTATGGCTCTATCTCTACATCATAATCATGTGTACATTTACTATGTAGATTAATATGTTCGAAAAGTTACTCGTTACACTGTATGCTGTGAAATAAAATGGGGAATACAAGAAGTATAATGTGGGCAGTGTAAACAATTAAAATAATAAAACCCAAAGCCAACAATTATTTTAGTCTATTTTCTGTCTATGGCAGTCAGCGCTTTTAAATGAATGTATTCCTACTGAAGAAGTGAATCTTTAAATCTTCAATTTGTTTCCCATAAAAGATGGGCAGTTATTTTTACTCAAATGGTTAGTGGTGCATTCAATTGGTAACTATGTAATGCCATGAATGAATATGCATTTGGTGTTCTTTTGAAGTTTTGGTCTTTTCAAAATGTAAATATTGTAATACAAATTTCATTTCATTTTTATTTGTCCCGCTCATGGTACGCTAAACCAAATGTACAATAATTGTCACAAAACATGACTCTACCATTGAGCGAAAAGGAGCAGGGAGAAGAATAAAATCTTATGTGACCTGCCCCTTTCTAAAAAAAACTAATAAATACAAATAGATGGTCTGCCTTTCATAATAATAATTTTTTTTTTTTTTTTTTTTCACAGCCAAACATTACAGTATCTTAGGATACTAAGAGAAACACAGGTTTAAACACAAATGTTTAAACCTGCAGACAAATAGATCAATAGATCAAATAGATCAATAGATCAAAAGAAAGAGGAAGAAAAACTCTTTAAACACTTTAAAAGGTCACTACTTGAGCATTTTAAAATGAAAAAAAACAATATTTTTTGTTTAAAGCTTGATTGAGATCATGTAAAGATGGTAAAGAATGACAGTGAGAGAACTATGTGAAGAGAGCTCTCATGCCCTTATATTAAATATGATATATATAGACCAACATTTTCTCCAGTTCACCTTCTGCCTGGCTGCTGTGTACACATGGTTCCTGATATTTAGCTGCTCAGCTCCATGTGTGCTCCATGTGTAATGATCCCCAGATGGTGACATGTGTCATAATAAACACATTGTTTCAGCATGCAGATGAAGAAATATGCTGATATGCTCCAATTTGGTTAGAGGAAACCTGTCTGGGAGCTTATGGAGATGAATTGTTGGACAACAACTGCCTTTGTGTGTCAGCCTGTGACTCAAATGTAAACAAGCAGGGATGAAACTGGCTAATGCAACGAGGTGTTAAGCTTTCTAAGCTGTTAAACCTTATTCTGTGCCTGTATCACAGCTGAAGATAGACAGCAAGGAGGGAAATAGAGGATGACATGCAGCAAAGGACCATGGGTCAGACTGGCCTCAGTACACAGTGTGCTCTCCACCAGCTGAGCTACTGCGGCTCCATTATTTGTACAGGGTTATGTGAAAGGTGAGTCTCGTATTGACCAACGAGAATTAATCAGTCGACTCAGAGGGTTTTATCATCTCTCAGCTTGTTGTTTTTCTTCTCCAGCCCAACTCTTTACATTATAAGTCAAATCTACACACTCTTATTAGTATAATTTCAAGAAACAGCAGCTGTTATCAGTTAAACTCTAAATACCCATTGTACATTACCTGCTTAGTACAAAACAGCAGTCAGTAATAGTTAGTTGAAGCAGTGTGGAGCATTTAGTATTCAAAGAGCCAGATATCTCTCCCAGGAGTTGGTAGAGACCAAAAATAGCTAAAAGCAGGGTAAATATGACACTTATTTTTGTCAGGTGGCCTGATATAGGAATCCAATAAATATGAATAATGTTCATTACCTAATGTATGTGTAAAAAGGCAACTAATTGGTAGCTACTTGTACTTAATTAGAAAAACGTTAGGAGGTATAATATGTCAATGTTGTGTTTATTCACTCCTTTACTGCCCCCTAATGGTCAACACAAATACATTTATGTAGGTTTACATGCTTTTTTGCAATCATTCGTTTCTTAAAGAGGCCATTATTTTCATGATTTCAAGTGTGATAAGTTAAAACAAGATCTGATTTCCACCTATAACTCAAACCCTTCAATTATTATGAAACAACCGTTAGATTTCGAATGCAAGTGCAAGTTGTAATAAATGTCAACAATGAAATATAAAACTAGTTCTTACTGTGGACGTCCCCTCTCTGTTTGGTGACCTCCTTCTGGATGGTGTTGTCCACAGGAGTGACTGGTGGGGGTGTTGGGGGACTTCTGGTGGGAGGAACTGGTCTTATGGGTGGGATATAGGGCTTGCGTGTTGGTGCTGGTGGCTTCCTGGTCAGGATAAAGGGCTTCCTGGTCGGGATGAAGGGCTTCCTGGTCGGGATGAAGGGCTTCCTGGTCGGGATGAAGGGCTTCCTGGTCGGGATGAAGGGCTTCCTGGTCGGGATGAAGGGCTTCCTGGTTGGGATGAAGGGCTTCCGGGTGGGAATGGCTGGTTTATGTGGAGGTGGGGTAACCTTCTTTGGAGGTGCTTTGGTTGTTGTCGTGGTTGTCGTAGTTGTGGGGGCGGCTGTTGTTGTTTTGGGAATTACGGGGAAGACTCTCCTTTGAGTCACTGGTGGTCGGACGGTGGTGGTGGTCCTCCTCTGATCTGTGTCTGGGAGGCGGTTGTGATGATTTGGAGGCAGTTTGCCTGGCCTCGGAGGGTCAATAGCCACTTTAGGGATGGCTGGAATAAAAAGAGAATGTAGATTAAGTACTGAAAAATGAGCACTTGAGAGTTAATGAGGCGGAGAATTGCAGACTAATTGCAATGATTAGTCTGACATTGGAAGTGAAGGCTTTCTTTTATCTACCGAGACTTTCCCCTTATTTCTATTAGCCAAATGTTAGCACCTAAAACAGATCGGGTGTTTCTAATCTCACTGATGCAAAAGCTCAAACAAGAAAGGCCCATAAAATCCTCATTTTGCACGTTCACATTCTTTCTTTTGTGCCTTTTAATAAATTCTGTATAAATGTTCTCCGTGGGGAAGTTGAAAGAGGAGAAACAGCGTGCAGCATGACAAGGTGGCCTTCAAAAACAAAACCCACAAAGACACCCCACGTTCAGTAAATGTCTGCTTTTGAGAAATCTATATTTCTCTCTGTCAGTGGCTTTTTTTGTATCCGTTTATATGCTTGTCCTAATTAGATATTCTTTGTGTGTTCATAGCCGGAGGCCTCTCAGCAGCTCTGTGTGTGTGGAACGATCTCTGCGCTCAAACAGGCCTTGGAGATCACCCTGCTCTGCTGTTGTCATCAACGTTACACCTCCTTTCCTAACTCCTCTTCTTCTTCCCATCAGGAGCATTGCATGGGCGGCGGGGGGGTGGGTGTGATGCAGGGCTTCATAAGGGGTTCATGAGTGAGGAATGAGAGTGGACAAAGGCAAAGAGTTTGAACTCAGTTATTGCCTTCTCAGGTTGCAGGCGACTTTGATATGTGATACACACGTAGGATATTGCAACTCGACTCCCAGAGCACTTGTGGCTCACACACCCTTGGGCAGGCGACAGGGTGAAATATTTGCAGCGCGCTACGCCATGAGGCGGCACCCCCCGCCCTGCTCGATGGACTGTTACACCAGTTGTGTCTGCGCAATGATTAAATAACTCAGGAGAATATATTACTTCTTGCCCACTGAGCTGCTGTGAAAACTGCCGACGCACAGATTAATGAACTGTGTGTCAGCACGCAAAATGAAACAAACTAACCAGGGAAAGAAATAACTCATATTTCATGATGACTCCTCTGATTAAAATGTCCAAATGTCAAAAAAGGAGTAAAGGCTCACTCTCCGCACACGTGATAAAGAAGCAGGGTGATTTAAGTGTTGACTGACAGCCATTACAAAGAAAGGAATTTCAGTCCCAGCTCTTCGCTTGTTGGCTATTCCTCCCTCTTTCTTACTTTTCTAGCTTTTTGAGAAACACCAGCAAAGAAAACAAAAAACGTGAGGCCCCGTTTGCAAAAGTGAGCATCGGGGGCCAGGGGTTTTGTTCTCAATTCTTACGTTTGCAGTCGTGGCCCATCCCCCGGTAGCCGTCTTTGCATTTGCACTTGTATGATCCCGGCGTGTTGTAGCAGGAGGCGGAGCCGCTGCAGTGGCTCCGACCTAAAGAGCACTCATCCACGTCTGAAAGATAATGGAAACATAACAACATTCAGCTACCGGGTGCAAGCGCAAAAGCAAACTTTAGACATAATACCAGAATATCCAAGGATAATGGCTTCACATCCTCTCCAACAGGGCTCAAAGTGTATATCATACGCACTGCTAGCTAAAGCATTTAAGTGAATAACCCTAGAGTTACAAAATCACTCTTGAGATGGAGATGCAAGGTCTTTAAAGAATCGGAGCAACCTTTTCCTATTTTTTGGCTTTTGTTCTGAAAAATGAATGGATAAACATTGGAGATATGTTTTCAGATGTTGCCGAGATTTAAGGTTAACATTGATAGTTATTTAATCTGAACGTTGTTGACATTGTCAGTTCCTGTTCATTAAATGTGTTCCCCTATTTCAACTAGTGAGTACTTCAGAGTAATCAGTCATCCCACTTCATGAGACAGCCTCAAATGACTTTTTCGTTTATCTGTATTTATTTGAAATATATTTTCAACATACTAAACAGTGGTATCTTTAAATGGGGTACTGATGAATACAGCAACATCTTAAGAAGTAGTAAAAGAGTAATATGGGAGGCGTGTGGTTTAGTGCGTTGGTGTTCGGATCAGGTTCAAACCCCACTGCAGTCAGCATGTGGTTGTGTCCCTGGGCAAGACACTTCACCCCAAATTGCTCCTGTGGGGATTGTCCACAGTACTGAGTATGTAAGTCGCTTTGGATAAAAGCGTCTGACAAGTAACATGTCATGTAATGTAATGTAATGTAGCAATGAAAGTGAACTCTGATCCTGCAAAATGGCTCTTTTGACTGTGTTGTATTAAATATATCATATTGTTGGATTATTATTACTGATTATTATTACTGATGCATTAATAGACAAATTGGTTTCATATCTTTACAGGGTGTAAAAAACAAAACCTGCCTCACTGAAAATACCTTGGTCACAAATCATCACTGACCACACATTCATGACCTTTGTGTGTTTTATCTGTGATAGCCTCACTGCGTCGACCTCCTGACCGTACCTATGCATTGGTATTTCCCGTTGATGTATTGCAGGTCAAAGCCTTCGTGGCACTTGCAGATGTAGCTACCGAAAGTGTTTATGCATTTCCTGAACCGAGGACACACTGCTATCCCTGCAGAACACTCATCCACATCTACAGGAGGAGCAAATACAGGTCATTGCACAGAAGAAAATATTCAAAACAAAACATAATGTATTCATCATTTTTCACTTAAGGTCTCGGAGTTGGTCCCATAAAGTTTTAAATGCTTCAAAAACCACAATGCAGTGAAAAACTTCAAGGTTAGAAAAAAGGAAATTAAATACGAAACTAGATAAACATCTCTATTCATACATGGAGACTTTTTTTTACCTTCCCTGGTTAGCATTCATTTATGAACGAAGCACATTAGCATTCTGTTCAGTGAGCTGAATACAATGCACACTATGTTGTTTCATTATTTAAAGACCTTTTCTCACTCTCTCTGTTGATCACCTTTCCCGGCATGTGGGCATTAATATTTAGAAACAGAGAGTCATTTGCTTTACAATCATTAATTTATATTCTGCACAATGCAGCTGAGGCCCCGCCGCGCTGCAGGGAATGTTGTTTGAAAGGACTTTAAAAACACAGAGACACCTGGAGCAGCTGGGAAAACAAGGAGAGAAGTAGGTGGGCGGGGCTCTCTTATCCCTTAAAGACTGCTGTTAGGCTTCTCATCAGCAGGGCGCTTAATCCCAAACTGATCCACTAGAGCTGCTTAATGGTCAACAGTTGAATTATTTAGCAACTCACAGAGCGGTGGTGAATTATCATGTTTTACAAAATACACACATACACACACATAAATTCAGCCCCTGTGTCAAAATGTGTAATAATATTGCCTACATAATGCCTGAGTGTTACATCCGGCATTGAAGACACATTTCTTTCAGAGCATCATATTAAACACTTATTCATAGTTATATACAGGATAAATCTTTGGCCAACATTATATTTTCAATTGGGTTTTGTTTGACAACTCGTCTGATACATTAAGCAATTTCTATGAGAGGCAGCACTAAAATATATGAAGCCGTCTCACAGCGAGCCTCTGCAACAATGCAGAAACATCAATAATGTCATTAATCAGCTTTCTGTCACAGTGCAAAACAAGTCAATACTTCCTTTGGATAATCAGACATCGTCCTCAAGAGATTTCTAGCCTATCGTGCACAATGTTTGAAAATGACTACATAAATTCAGTTTATTATACATCTGCTACTGGCTGCAGAAATTACTTTGGTGCTTCATTTGGGGTTTTTCTGCTAATTTCTCAACGTTTCATCCCAAGAGATGAATCTAGATTTATATCTAATAATATTATTATAGATTTATTTAAATGTCACACTTAAATTGGTACTGGAGCTACTTTGCAGAGACTTTAGGTGTTACTTTATTTTATAAAATAACTGAATGTGAGATCATGCCTCATATCAAGGTAATTGATGAAAAGCAATGTGTGTGTGATCCCATAATATTGGGACTGGTAATGGACAGGAAACTGTATTATTCTCAAAAGCACTTTAATGTTTACTTATAACTATACAGAGTAAAGCTCACACAGGCACAGAGGGCAGCTCAGGGGTCCTTTTGGTGAAACCCACAAAGGTAAACATCACTCAATAGACCATGCAGAGTGTATGCAGCCACTCTCTAAATAGTGAGCAGTGTATGTGTGTTGAATAGTGTCAGTTTATGTGTTTATAGGGTTAATTCTAAGCAGACTCTTGGTATATGCGCAGGTATGACTCATTAGACCGTGCCGAGAGCATGCAGCCACATTGCAGTGATGTGCTTGTGTTATATATTTCAGAACGAGCGAACAACGAAATTATATTATTTATTTATAAGTCCATTTTATGTGTAAGTGGGCAACAGATGTACTTTAAAAAATATATAATTCAAGCATTACGTAGCATCTTTTCTAAAAGTTTGATGAACATCTGCCCAGGCCCCTTTATACCTACGTTAGAAAGGTGTTGACATAATGAGTAAAGACATTTTAAACTCTCCAAGTCTCTGTTAAGGAAAAACCTCCATAAATATGATGAGAAACTCTCCATAAAACATCTGCTTCTCTGGGAAACCAGAAAAATTCCATTTTGAACACCTGTGGCGGGCAACCTGTCCTTCCCCACCTCCATCATTTTTCATGATTGATGTTCGTTCTGTTTAAAAATCCACCTCCCATCCGCCCACAGATAAGTGGGAATATAGGGCAGCATAGCAGGAAGAGTCCAGTCTGGAACAGCCTGTATTTAAACCTGACACAGGTTAACTGCCTCAACTGCCCCCTTCATCTGTATCCTTCCCACTCGAGAAGCTGTTAATGAAGGAGGGGAGGAATGGAGGAGGGGGTGGGCTTCCCCTGATCACATTTCTGCTGTAAAAGCTGGAGGAAGTAAGTCGGATATAGTCACCAGGCTGGTTACATTTCCATGGTGCTAAGTTTATTTATTAATTTGTATTATATATACTATTTTGTATGTTCTTTCCCACTATGACTATGCATGTCATTCAGTATGGTATTCCTGTCATGCTGTTTTTTCTGTATTATTTCTTGTTGGCTGTTCGGTTTTTCTTATATGTTGAAAAAGAGAAGCATGATTCCCACCCCAAAGAAGTCTGTACTATTGCTTACACTTGTATGCTTCTTCTCAATACAAATATTTGAAACACATTTCCATGGTCCTTGATCAAAGCAAAACGGATGTATTGGTAAATATGTTTTGGATGAATTTCAGCTTCGCTTGCAAAGAGGAATTATTTCCTAAATTGCCTTTTCACTGCCAAGATTTCCTTCTCGCTCAGCCAAAACGATGGCATTCATTATCACTCTGCTAATTTAAAGTCTGAGAAGAAGATATAAAAAAAGGCAATAAAATGCTCGTGATGCTTTACATGGGTAGCTTATGGAAGGGAGTGGTAGCACGAGGCTCAGTTTTCAGGCCTCTGGAGATATATATAAAGTCTGCCACGTACCCACACAGGTTCGTCCATCCGGAGCCAGCTGCAGCCCCGGTGACGGACACTGACATCGGACCTCTCCTTTCAGCACCTCGCAGCCGTACTGACAGTTGGCCATGCCACAAGTGCGAGCATCTGAAGGATACAAGGGAATCACAGCACATATTAACACATGATGGTGCCACAAGGGAGGCTTTCTTTCTTTCTTTCTTTCTCACATCCACACTCACACTTTATCCTATCCACCAGCTATAGACGGTATTAGTCGAGCTGACCCTGAGGCGCAGACAACAGAACAACACACAGTCGGCCATTATGAGATTCCTGTGCTGTGCACCTTAGCCCACGCAATCTTCCCCCACTTTCATATTTTCCTACACCTGAGGAATCATAATCCCCCTCCATCCTATTGAAGCATGTGTAGTGTGCGTGCTGTTGTTGAGCCGTGCAGGGGCAGATTAAACCCCTCTAAAATAATAATATTTTTTGATATATAATACAAATTTTGTTCAGCCTCTTTCAATAACATCAGACCCTTAAAAGGAAATTAAAGAGTGAGCCTCATGCTGCTGCAGTCGCCACTTCAGCCGCCGCAGGCACCCAGGAGTACAGTTTGATGACGGAGGAAGGCTAGGCTGATTAAATGCTACAGCGATCTATTGATCAAAGCAGCAGCAGAGGAGAAAAGAGGAGCGGCACGGTGTTTAACACTATCATGCTATCAGCCCACATCAACACCTGGAATTGTTTGAGATTGCCTCAAGTGGGAAAAATCCAACTTTAATACAGAGACATTTATTTTCCTCTGATAAAAAAAAGGAACTAGCCTTATTAAAATGAGGCACCAGGAGTCACGCTATGCTCTAATGTATGTGGGGAGAAAATAGTTAGCCTATCAGGTGGGAAACATCATTTACAGGCAGACATGTACAGGCATTACTTCTTCGAATACCTCGGGCGAGCAATAAGAACTGCACCCGAGGGTTTAAAGATTGTGTTTCCCTCATACTTTTCATTGTAGGCCTCTTAGGGTTCTTCAGAGGGGTTCTTCAGCTGCTGTAATGAAGCGGATCAACGAAGGGCTTTAATCAAAACACTATATCAAAGGATTGCTGTCAAAGCTACTCACACAAGTAGAAAACTGTCTTTGTTTAATAGAGAGCAAGATATGTCATCTGGTTGCCAACTGCTGGCATTCAGATGAATACATTTGTCGTGAAAATAAACTTCACAGTATATAGGCTACAAAGCAAAAGAGAGATGGGAAAGACATATAGGTCAGGAACGAGGCTACAAACAAAACGAAAATATCCACATTTCAGACATCAATACCAACAGAGATGTGTGTGTTTGTGTATTGGGGGGAAAAACTCACTTCCACATGTCCCGTCAAGCATCTGCATGTAGCCGTTCTGGCAGTAGCACTTGTAGCTTCCATAAGTGTTCATGCACCTGTGTTTACAGGGCCTGGGCTTCAGACCGCACTCATTCAGGTCTGCGGACACAGAGAGAGAGACAGCGTAAGTGGACAGCAGGACAGAGAGACCCTGCACAGAGGTGAAATTAGTCAGAGGGCAAAGGTGCTGAGGTCAGTCATGTCAAACCTCACCCATCCGTTTATGTATGAGTTTGTCTGTCTGTGCGTGCGTTAATGTGTGTGTTTTGGAAGATGGTGGGGGTGTCTTCGAGGAAGTGTCATGTTCTGACAAGCCTGTAACTTCCCTCCTTGATGATTTAACAGGAAGCCAGTGTCAACTGTCAACCTACCCATTACCTGCAAGTGATAAAATATGCTATTATACCCTCTGACTCACCACGACTTCACGTACTTAAAGCTGCAGCATCCTTTGATAGATGCAATTCCAGTGTTTTTCGTGCAGGCGTGAAAGTAGAGAAATCTCACCCACAACAGACCGTGAAAATCAAATTAGAAAATGATGCTGTCTGACTTCGGAGCAGGGAGGGCTCCTGGGAGAAGGAAATATGCCCTGAGCTCAACACCTGTCAAATGCTTATGCAAATTAAAGTCATTATACCTTCCTCACAGCACAACATTTATATGTTTCTGTCGCAGGACGCTGGCGTTGTTTATACTCCCTCTAAATGGAACAGAGACACCATTAATGTGATTAGTTACACCTGGGAACTTTCTGCTATGACAAGTCAAAGTATCTTCATGTGAAGGGTTTACGCTGGCTTAATACAATTAATATATTTATATAAATGTATTCCCACTGTAGGTTTGACTGAAAGCTTATTTTAAAGACTGTAACTAAAGTTAAGTGTCATTCACAAGATTTAAAATGTTGAAAAACAACCTAGGTAGTCACGTATGATGGATGACATATTTGACATTTTGGCAGAAAACACACAGGTGTAACTAAAAACATTAGTCATAGTTTCAGTTCCCCGGTGCATTTTGCTTGCCTGGGATGACTTGCTGAGACTTCACTTCTAGACATCATAAATGTTATTAGTTATACCTGTATACTTCCTGCAATAACAAGTCCATGTGTCCTTTACTTAAAATGGTTACAGCGGCTGAGATAAAGAACGGTTATTTCTTACTATGGACTCCACTGAACACTCATTTGAAAGATTGAAATTAAAGTAAAGTAGCATTGTCAAAATTCAAATTGTAGCAACTCAACTAATAAGAACCTCATAGCTCTATAGAGCAGATATTGTTTTGACATCAAATGCATTAAAGGGCCCTATTAGGCTCATTTTCAGTTTCATATAGGTATTTTGTCCTGGCAGGCTATGTTGTGATTGGTCAACCGCTAAGAGATGTCCTGCCTCTTAGACTATCGTGTACAATTTTTTGGTGCCCTATAGCCAATAGAAAAGCGAGTGTTACATAGGGATGTCACTATCTTACGGAAGTAAACAAAGGAGTCCAATGGAGGCGTTTCAGGCAGGGGGGTAGTATGGGAGAGAAACTAGCTTGGGAGGGAACTTCGGGATTTCAGCCTTTGCAGACCATTCACAAAAATCTATATAACACTACAGGAAAGAGAAAACCCCCAAAACCATAAAAGGGCCTCTTTAATGGTGGCCATATTCAATGTAAGATCCTTGGTATCACTTTAGTTACACCGGTGTGAGAGGTCTATTGGGTCTTTTTTTAAATGTTTAAATATTGGATTTAAGAAAAAAACTCTAATCACATAAATAATACAAAATAGATTGATTCCTCTTTTGTCTTTTTTTCACAGCAGTCAGTTTACTACGCCGCTGTAATAAATTACATTTGATCAATTAATGTCTGTATTCACTTAGGTGGCATACTGGGACATTTAAATGAAAAAGAGCCAGCCCTAATGTGTGAGTGAGTCTCCGGACTAAAATGTTATTATTTAAACCTATGCTTTTTCTATTAGCAAAAGTTAAAATGTCCTGCTGTGAAAGAGGCTTTTATTTATTCTAGATGCATATTGCTTTTAATAGAATATTGACCGTGCTGCCATCAGCTGTGGTGGAAGTAACTAATTGCTCTCATTACTGTCATTGAGAATCTTTGTTGTATAATTGTTGAGTACACTCATGTTTCTCAATGCACTTTTCAAATAGAGAGGGATTTTAGTACAGTCGGGTATTTTGCTGCTCTGACAGAAAGAAGAATATGTTTTCATTCCAGTTTTCCCCTTACCTCTGTTTCCTCCTGAAGCTATTCTTTAGATTAGGTTTTCTCAAAAGAAATAGTGTCACTACTCTTACAGAGCATCACTCACTTGAGGAGGGTAGCTATCAAATCTTACTTCTTCTTCCTTTTGCTAATATTTAGTTAAAGTGACAGTTCTTTTATTTTGGTAGTTTTTCCAGCCCCAAATGTGGCGTCTGTTTGAGGCCCAAAAGGGGAAAATACAACAGGAATCCATCACAGTGGAATGATAACACATGCTCCAAGAAGTACACAAATTAAACTATAAATATCACCCCCTGTTTCTGGGATATAGTACAAACATCACAAACAGATTTCAGTGCACTGTACACGCACATGAGGGGTTGCTTTCATCTTGGCCGGCCGCTTTATGAACGGCGCTGTGTTCAGCCGCGGGGACACATGCAGGGCACATTCTTAGAGTGCCACATACCTCCCACATTTAACAGATACCAAAGATTGATTTGGATGAGTGACGCAGCAGATGCCCAGTTTGTATATCGGAGCCATCGTCTATTAATGGTCGCTTAAATTAAGCCATGTTAGCTGATTCGAAAGGCGCGGCTGGAATTTGACCGTCAGCTTGTTGAATGCCACACAGTGCCACCAGGCTTAAGTAGTGCTTCATGACTATAAACTGTTGAGGATATATAGGGGTCAGTTAGTGAATGCAGTTGTTACTTGAGGGCCGGTATAGTGAAACATTAATAGAGTTACTTCCACTCATGAGCAAGGCTAACAAGGGGCATTTAAGGAGTAGCAATATTGATTTTTCCACTATACGGGAACATGTGGGACAAGCACATTTAATTGTATCTGATTAAGGATAGTTTTCTAATATCATTTAAATGTATCAGTAGAAAAAGTCTAGAATAAAATAATGTCATGGCAAAATGAATAACATAACAGGTTGTGTTTTACATAAACTGCACTGTGCTACTGATGGTTTTTCAATCCTGTAAAGGGTTAATATGAATTATGCTTAATTCTTTATTCCAACAAACTAAGCCAAAATAAATGTTCCCTGTCCTTGTTAGACAGCAAGTTTAGATAACATTCAAATTCTCAACCCTACATCTGTTCTCCCACGACATAATATCCACATCCCTTAAACCAGCAGACACATACACACATTTCAATGGTTTAATTAGTGGTGTCAACCTTATTTTCTCCCTGGATTTCACAGTAAACAACTTGCATTCTCATTCCTGCAATAACAAAAAACCATAGCGACACTTTGTCCACTGGCATGGCAGAGAAAACAGGTCTTAACTTGCCTGGTTCACTGAAAAAGAAACAGCTTATAAATGTAAATGAGGGATTATTGAAATGGTCACATTCTCAGACAGAGGCAGCTCTGTGAGCATCAGCACATGCCAGACGCAGCCGGGGCCTCCTCGCGAAGAAAGAAACAGACAAGATGGAGCGAGGACACAGAGTGGTGGAAAAACGGAGAGATAGCAGACAGACCAGCGACTGACAGCTCGACGAGGCCTCAGGACTGAAGAAAGCTGAGCGATAGCGGAGGTGGAGAGCCCCTCTGGGGTGTTCACTGTACGGTAAATGAACTTCTGAGGCACATCTGAAGTGATGCAAAGTGGAGTGATTTATTGGGTCAACTCCATTGAGGTATGCTGCATTCCTGACACGCCTCTATCACTGACAGAGATTAGCAGAAGGCTTTTTTCTTGGGGATATGCTTGACTCAAGGGAAGATAACACTGGGTAAAATTCAAAGCCCTTTTTTTCAAGCAGGAGTCAAGAGAGCAGTCTCTTTTTAAAAGGAAAGGACGAGCTCTTTGTTCCGGGTGCGGGAGAGGAAAATTAGAGAGAAGAAGGGGGCAGAGCATAAAGGAAAATCATAATGGCTCTTTGCTGTTGAGAAAGGTTTCTTAGGTGACAGAAAAAGGAGGTGGTGAAGACTGTGACATGCTTGGCATTCGTGCTGGCATATCTGGGAGGTGTCAAAGAAACTGGTGGCATTCATTCCTCCGCAGTTTGCACAGTGGAGCTCCATGCATGTTGTTAAGATAAGGAGGAAGAGGAGCTGCTGTGGAAAGTCAATTGTCGAAATCTCACCCTCCATCACTACCCCGCACCGGCTGATGGTCCACAGGACGAAAGATAGGGAGGTGACTGGCCCACACTGGTGGGGTTAAATAGTCGAGCGCTTCTTCTTTAGATAAAGTAAATGGGTTAGAGGGGATGGGGGGTAAGTGGGAGGAAAGGGAGTTTGATCCAAGAGAGAGAGAGAGAGAGAGAGAGAGAGAGAGAGAGAGAGAGAGAGAGAGAGAGAGAGAGAGAGACACACCAACCAATGGATTAGAAACACCTCTGACCACACCACATTCCTGAAGAGTAAAGAGGAACATTATGCAGTAAGAATTGGACATGAGGGCCCATGGGAGAAACAGTGAAAGTGTCCCTTCTCCTCCTGCCCTCTTCTGTATTCTTATTTTGTCCTGAGGGTGAAATAAGATCTGAGAGAATTACATTATCACACGGATTCAGAGGATCCTTTCTCAATTTGTTTCTGGAGGTTAAACGAGAGACAGGAGTTACCATTCAAAAAGGCAAATCATTGCTTGACTACAAACAGCCTGGAGACGTTCAGCCCCCCCCCCCCCCCCCCTCTGTGAGGAGCCATCCATCCTGCAACCTTTCCTCTGGCAGTCAGCAAACAACACCTATTGTTAAGTGACTGGAAGATGATACAGCTACCTTTGACTGCTTCGCACGCTTCAAATCATTCAAGCGTCTCCCTATTGAGGGAAGCGGTAACTTAGACTGGGAGGTTTTGAAAGCTTACTGCATTTCTGCCAACTCTACCCAACACTTGTCAAAAGCCTTATCTGCAAAAAGGCTCTATTGATATTGGTATGAAACGTTTTAGTATAGCTAAGAACAATAATTCACGGAGAGAATAATTTAACAAGGGCAGCGTTGTCTTATAAGAGTGGTTCTTTTTCTTGAAGACATTGTTTGGACAAAAGCTAAACCTGAACAATATCCCATGAAATTGGAAAACAGAGCAGTTACTGGAACAAGAGGCTATAGTGGCTATAGTATCGTACCACAAATCTCCCCCAGGGACACACTCTGCATGGTTATCTTATCTGAGAGTGATACCCGTGGGACTCGTCAAATGCCAGAAAGTGCATCATGTGGTATAAAACAAACAAACAGGCTGTGCTGTGTCTATTGTACGCTGTTGGTCATTTAACGGAGTGAGATGTTTGCACTGAGGTAAAACGAAATTACATGAAATGATTTGCAAGAGCTCGATGATTGATCTGACTTCAATTATCACTTTATTTTATAACATCATTATTATCGCCACCCAACGGTTAGATGAGATCATTTCTATCAATTGTATTCCAGGTCCATCGTCCTGCTAATGGAGGTTAAGGTCAAATGTGACTTCATAGCCCACTTGATATCTAATGATCTTCTAAAAGAGAACATTGATAAAACAAATACAATTTAGGGTGATTAGCTGATAATTGAGGGAAAATACACTAGACTTGCAGCTATTAGATTATTAACAGCTGAAAGCCAGGAAGACAAACAGTGACAGAGAGCGATCGGTTTCCTAAAGTGCCTTTCTACACCTACACTGAATTAAATCACAATATTTTTCCGTCGCCAAGACAAGCAGAGAAAGGTCCAGATATGACATAATCTATCTGAAATAGAGAGTGTCTGTCTGTATGTATCTAATGTATGTCTGTCTGTCCTTTGATTTTCTTACTTCACATCCTATTGGCATGCCAGGTAAAGCTTGCACAGAGATCTAAGAGAGACATATATTAGTAAATGTATTGGCAACCGCTCATACCATCAAAAATACATCTGGGGATTATCCATAGACATTGAATAAAGCTTTGACTTAATTGAGCTCACTCAGCATGTGCTAGGTGATGCAAACAGCATCATGGTGGATGTATTTCTCATGACTAAAGGAAGTAAAGTGTTGAGTGGGAAGTTGTTTGGATGAGCGATTCTTGAGAAGCTGCAATAGCAGAATACCACAGGCGAAGCAATCGTCCATTTTTAAAACTGGCATTGCAATAGTGTTCTAAAAAAAGCCACAGGAACAAATTGCTTACTAACTTTAACCATAGCTCAAGACTATTATACTTGTGGTATTAATTTATATAGTTGCCTGACAGAAAAAGAGGGATAAGAATAAAGCAGCATCCGGAGGCGCCGCAGATATATTGCTTCTGAAGTCATTCCTCCAGGAAAGTCTTTTTAAAGCCTCTTAACAGCAGGTCAACTACACCTAATTAAATCCACCTGTATGCAATAATGAGCTTATTAAAATGATTGGTTCAGAAGGGGGAGTGTGCTGCCAAACAGATTATCCCTATAATGAGTTTATTTGTGTAGTGACAGCGTGTTCATCTATCCTCACCATGCGGCATGACAGATCCAATTCTCATCAACACAGGTGAAGCACTTCCTAAAAAAATGATAGATTCTCGAAGTGTTGATTATTTTTTTTGACAGATTTGACAGACTTGTTAATTTAATGATGAGCACAATCTGATTCAAATGATGTCTGCAGGTGTTAAGATTCTCTGTATCGGAAAAGCCATTAAAGTGATATAAACACTTTGGTGAAATGATCTGGCAGGTGAAGAGAGCTGGCAGTAAAACAGACATGTAGTCCTTGAAGTATAAATATCTCATAACAGTACGGGCTCATAAAACTTTGACAGAGGAAAATACGGCTTTGAATCTGAGAGTGGTGAAATCAATACAGTAGCTGCCATGCTTTGTGTTTGCTGTAAACACTCATGTTTCCTCTGAGGTTTGTTTATGCTCCCGGTGTTCCTAAGGTGTTAAACACTTTAGTTAATCAGATCGCCTCCAGGGTCACACATCTGTCCACACCCACCAACTTAAAGTAGGGGAATGTTTGGCCATGCATGCAAAACATCTCTCTGCCAATGCAGGTTTACTAACCCTAACCCTCTTAGCCTTCATTTAAATATTAAAGATAATCTTTGGGGACATAATCATGCCATAAAGACTGGTGAGTTTGCTGAAGTAAATTTGGATACTTCAAAAGTAGGTAGGTAGGGAACTAAACTGGATACCAACCAACATCGTATTTCAAAATGTTTTCATTATTATAAGAAGAACCTCTCATGACTTTAGATAAGGACCAGCTGCAATTTTTGTTTGTTGTTATTCTTCAGTGTGCTCAAGGTTTCCATTTAAATAGATATTGGTTAAGTTATTAACTATTGGCAAATGAACAAATGGTATTTCCTGGAAAAATCCCAAGCCGTGGGTTTTAATCTCCATAACTGTGGGCGGCTTGCCGGAGATGGTTGGCAGAGCTAACGAAACAAACTTTAATTTACTTTAAAAGATGGAAAACAAAAGATAAATTACCACAGTTGATGGAAATTCAAAAACAAGAGAATAAAAGAGAGATATTTAGGATTTTAAGTCTAACTATCTAGCAGTGCATGCTGGGAAGTTTGCTAATGTTCTGATAACATGCATAATGCTAGTGAACTTTCCGCAGAACAATAATTCAAAACAGTAGGCTCGAAAGGCATTAACTGAATAAAACAGACATTAAAGTCAGCCTTCAGGCATGTTTTGAAGTATATAAAGCACCATGCTATGATAATATTTTCTTTAAATTAATTCTGTTTCCGACAATGAAAGAAACACGTTTATCTTGTTCATAAGAAATCATGGATCCGTCCTCGTCTAAAACCGCTGCTAGCGTAAGCTTGAGGTTAAGGTCAAAACAGCATTACTGGATGTAAAATATACAATTAAATCTAGTTAGAATTGTTGGCAGGTAATGGAAGGAAGCCTCAAGTCCATTTTACATCCAAAAAACTGCACACTGCCATTTTTGTCATCTCTTGCTCTCTGTGAATCTGTAAAGGAGGTTTCAGGTTGCTTCACCGGTGTTACCGCTGTTGACATGTGTCACCATTTACGGATTAGACAGCGATTGACTGTTTGCTCCGAACTTAATCTTACTTAAATCCACAGAATGCAAAACATCTCTAGTGACAGACTCAACAAGTCAGTGTACAGGTCAGCCTTTTTTGGGGATATAAACATAAGAAAAACTTATTTTTGGGTGGAGGCGACCTTTAAGTTAATTATAAAGGATCAGTTTATTCCACATAATCGCAGAATGAAACAGCCCTGGGCAACTCATTTCTCTCCTCCAGTTGGCACTGAAGATGAATGCGGTGGGCCGGATATGAGACTGCTGCGAAACACTGGTCAATAGTAAACCTCAAATCAATGTTTCATGGAGGGCTGCATTTAGATGAGAAGATTTAATCTATAGTTTGAGAATAATTAAATTGGTCTCCATAGCGTGTGCCAGCTCCAAACTGAATCCAAGGTCATCTCCACCTAAATAGTCTGAAAGGGCAAGTGTGCCACTCAACGCTGAGTAAAACAGATAGCTCAGTGATACGTCCAGAGCTTATTGGACAAATGGGGCTTCGATGGACACTTGGAAGTACAGTTTCATCTTGAAAGGGCTTGGAATTACATTTGTCAGATAAATCTGTCTGAATGTTTGGCAGCAGAGTCTATTATAGTTGGATACGGGACGCTGTTCTCCCCTTTGTTGCAGATTAAGACAAAGTGCAGCCGTCTGGCCGGGCAGACAGGAGCCACCTATAGCCTCCAAACGCAGGATGAGTCATTGGAAACACACCAGAGGATTTCGACACCTCCACCTCCTTAACACCACCTCAACCCTTGTGTTTAATTGCACACTATACCTATTCCTGTCTTAGGGCGTGAATTCCACAAGTGCTTTCAAGTTGCTTGGATCCACTTCAATGTACTTACTAACTGGGATGCTTTAACGCTTTTTAACATGTCTGATCTGTCAGTGATGAAAATGCGAAAAAAAGTCTTGCACACACTTTCAGTAGCATCGGGCTCACTCAGCAGAGACGAGTTATCTCAGGTCAGTAATTGAGATGTTATCTTCACAGAGAGGATGCTCCCAGGGGATCATTCAACATGGCCTCTACTTATTTCCATTTGAGCTGAATCAGCTTTTCTTTTTCTGGTGGGAGAAACCTCTTCCGCTCCGTGATAAAGTGGCATCTCTAGGAGGGATCCGGCCACAATAGACAATGATTAACCTGCAATTACTCGGGGCGCCTTTTGTTTTCATGTGATAAATGTGGATGTCAGCATCAAGTTGTAAGGACCTTGTTTTCTGACTTTCTCTGTGGTGCACGTTTCAACCTCAGTGCCCTTTGACACACAACAAATCACAGCTGTGTTTTCATACTGTCTACAGGTTCCAGACTCACCTTGATTGCAGGTCTTTCCGGTGAAGCCTGGATGGCACTTGCACTTATTGGGTCCCACGCAGTCTCCATGCTTACAGCCGGGCTGGCACACAGCTGTTCAGGGAGGATTCAAAGAGGGACAGACAGATCAGTGCAGCGCTTTGGCACACTACTTGTTTCAGATCAGGTTGACAAAGCACTTCATCCTACTGCTCCTTGACTTGTCTGTAAATTGCCTTTTAACTCCATGATACAGCATTAAGACAGCATGAAGCCTCATTCATGAAGAAAATACTTTCTCCTTGCTTGACAGCCTTATTATCATTGACTAATGGCAGCCATTCAGAGCTAATCACATCATTTACACCTTGTACAGAGCTGGAAAACTTGTATCGTCCTTGCTGATACTAAATAACTTCACACTGTGTGAAATAAATAGGGTGTTTGACCTTTTATACTGAACAAAGTTTTGATTTCTTAGTATCCTAAGATACTGTTATGTTTGGCTGTGGAAAAAAAAAAAATTATTATTATGAAGGGCAGACCATCTATTTGTATTTTGTTTTTTTTAGAAAGGGGCAGGTCACATAAGATTTTATTCTTCTCCCTGCTCCTTTTCGCTCAATGGTAGAGTCATGTTTTGTGGCAATTATTGTACATTTGGTTTTGCGTACCATGACAAATAAAAATGAAATGAAATGAAATGTTCCATGTTTTTGAATACAGCACATTGATATTTCTATGGGCACCCAGTCAACGAGGGTAACCTAGGCCAATAAAATCCCCACTTAGACTGAAGCTGGAATAATTAGAGCACCAAAACTGTAACTTATAATGAGCGCTTCGAGTTTCCTGCAGATGGTACAAAGTGTGTGGATGGAGATATTTTGAGTTGTGGTAGCTGCTGTGCATCTTCCTGTTCTGTCTCAGTGCGTTGTGGGCTTATCTGACTGTGCTTACTGCAGCTTGCTGCTAAGCATGTCTGATACACAGGGCCTCAGCCAAGTGTTACTAATTTTCATTAAAAGCTTCATTAATTCTGTCATAATACAGCGCAATCAGAGGACTTAATTACCACTGTGCTGGAAGAGGTAGTACATATGCTTAAGAACGTGTGTGTGAAGAGGTTTTGGGTGAGAGTGCTTATCACACCAGCCAGTTTGTTGTGTATCTGGAAAGGTGTGATAGTGTAGTTATATTGTGAGAACACTGGTGTTGAATCTGTTGTTGTGTCTGTAATGCTATACATATTACTCCAAAAACATCCTTATTTTTACATAGCCTCAACTGACAGGATTTAGCTTTTGTGTTACTAGGTTCGTCACCATTCAACTATTATGGGAAAAGCTCAAAAACGACCTCACAGATGTTTGTTAAATTGGATGGACACATTATACATGAGCAGATAAGCAGACTTTCAGAAAGAAAACAGAACGGCATTTAAAAAAAGGTGTGTTTTTAATGTTTCAAATACCAGAGAAGTTGAAAGATTATCCAAAATATCTATCTTGTTTTTAAAGTTTTAAAAAGTTTCTTAAAAGCTGTCCTCTGCCCTTTAAGTTAAGTTAAACTTTTCTGCTGACACTGTGTCACTATTAGTCCCACCTACATTTACATAATATACAATATGCATATATCAACTCAGCCGTTCTGCATAATTGAATGCTATTTAATGGCGTGATATGTTTGCATAGCAATGTGCAACTTTAGTTAAGATATTCACGTTTGAAGTGCCTTCTTTTATTAATGATTTTAATAAAAGATGGAAATAAAGTTAAAGCTGTTTTAACACATACTGAGGGAGACCCTATAGAACCGATGAAGAATGGGCTTGATAATGCACTCTTTAAATGAAATGCACACTTTCAGAGTTGAGTTACAATCTCAGAAATATCCATTCATACCCATGCAGCTTGCAGGGTGGCAGCTCAGGTTTCTGTCTGTAACATTGTTCAAAGTGAATTCAAAAGGCACAAAGGTATGTGATGAATCCGAGTCGATAACATCTCCAGGCTCATTGCACTTTATTTGCTGCTATGTAATCAAATAGAAAGATAGTATTGTTAGCACACTTGGTAGAGCCTGTGATATGATATGATGTGAGTTTGCACACCAAGCAAGTAGTCCACAACTACAAATAAAAAAGTCGCCTAATTTGTTGGAGGAAAAAGAAAAGAGTGAAACTTTTCTACGCGTAGGAGTTTATTAGACTCGTTGCTGATCAGCAGATAAAATGAAATATGGTTGTGGTGTTGTTAGAGGGAATTTGAGTGCTTTTTTGTCTTTCTCCTACAGTACGTGGGGGAGGATTTGATTTGCAGGATCTAGCATCAGCAGGATTTGCCTCGGAGGGTATTTTTAAGCCTCGGGCCTGGCAGAAAGATCAGGGGAACGGCCCGTGTTCATTAACCACAGCAGAGGATACGGGGGGCTAAAAATGGTGGCACCAGCTGGAAAGGCCAAACATAGCATGTATGACCCTCCATCTATGAACGGCATCAAAACACGCCGGGTGATGACACACTTTCACTCCCGTTTACATCAGCCGTTCCTCGGGACAGCACACTGCTGCCGGCTACAGAGGCAGAGTCTTTTGATGTATCGACTGCTAATGGACGCCTGATGGTTAACACAAGGGGAGAGTATTCATTTTTAATTGAGACCAATAATGCGTAAGAATGTTTAAACTGGTGAAATGAATGACTTAATCAAAGTGAGATGATACTTCATCAAACGCAAGTTGCACCCTTTTGTAATCAACTGAGTAATTATCTAAGACTGTTTGTAATCATTATTTCATTAGCCATTGATTTTGTGTCTGGTTTTGTGTTTTTTATCCATCATTGAATTATTTAAAAAGTTCTCAAAGACCAAGGTAACATCTTAAAACTACTTATTTGTCAGATAAAGACCCAAACCCATTTTTACAATTATATTAAACAGAGAAAAGCCGTATATCCCAACATTTTAAGATAATATTTAGCATTTTTGCTTGATAAACGACATATAATTTATTTATTTTTAAATATTCAGCTGATTACCTGTCCATAAATAAATCATTTGAGGATTAATGTCAGCATACATGCTATATGGATGACATGTAATCTGTCCGGGGTGCGTTATGCGGTGGAAATGTCATTGATTGACCTCGTAATGTCACGGGGAATATTTCATTTACCTAAGTGATGAATTATGATAGCATTGGCATTCTCCACCTCACTGATTTCTATATATTTAGGTATGCAGAAAACCCCCCTACCACATTCAAATGCTCAGTTTCTACCGTCCCTACAGATATTACTGATATATAAAATAAAAAACATTATGGATTTCACCTTTGAGGGTTTCATTAGTATTCTAAGGGGCGCTGAATCTTAATGAATCATTGAATCATTCCAGTATAACTCATGTTAAGAAACGGCTTCAGGTGGAATCAGGAGCGGAGGCTGTTTGCATAGATCTGATGCCTGGAGGAAGCAAGATGGCCGCTACCAAAGGGGGTGTGAGGTGTTAGTGGAGGGGTGGGCTCGGCTCTATAAATAAGTGAGCGAGCCCAGGATTCAGAGGATGTGCCCCCAGCAAAAATGTCGAGCAAAATTATTTCAAGAAACATGTGGAGCTAACCTTGGGGCTGGCACCTTATCCCGGCTACTCTGTGAGTTAAGGCGAGGAGAGCTGCAAAACAAATAGCCAAACAAACAAAGGATGCGAGCAATGTTTAGTCAAGAGAGCAAAAAAATAAACATGATGTTAGAGGTCAGAGCGTGGTCATTTCGACAAGCAAACATTCCTGCAAAAAAAAGAAAACACACACTGTCTGGAGTTTTGGAGTCACACATATTCCCAGTTGCCTGTAGGCACGTTTTGAATGCATTTACAATTTCGTTTTTCAGATTTCTTTCTGAATAAAACCACCATCTAGTATTTATGAAGAATGTGAACTATATTCCCTATCACTCACATCTAAATGAAAGAGAGTAGTTTTCTCTCGCACACTGTGAAATACTTAAACGCTATCCATATCACTCAATGAGATCCTGGTGCCTTTAATATGAAATTAAATTCTGCAGGTACCTGACTGTGAGGAGGCAGATTTTTTAATAGGCTTGGTTTCAAAGTGCTTTTAAAGCCAGAATTGTGTCAAGTAATTCGCAACATGTGCCAATTATCCCTGCATAAATGCACTCAATTTTGATGTGCTAACCTTGCAGTTTTGTTTTCACTCTGGTACCCCGAGCAGATGAAAAGGCACTCTTTTAGACGATACAGCCCAGTGATCATGAAAGAAAGTGGAGCAGGCAAGGAAACTGCTCAGAAAATCACGATAAAGTGAATTACTTAAACGGAGATATCACTTGTTAGCTCGCATTACCAATTCAAAAGTCCTGCCTTAATCCTGGCCGTAGAATTTGTAGAAACAAAGGCGGCACTCAATCAGAAATAAATCCCGGTCTCAGTGGATTTGTAACATCCACCAGGAGTCAGGACTGGTCTGAGGAAATTGTAATGTGTGATCCATTTAATATGGAGGTGATATTCAACCTAGTTCTTAAACAATCAGAGAATATAAAGTCTTTCTGCCAGGGTTTTGTTTGATCAAGTCTTTTGGAAGAAGTTAATCAGAAGCAAGTCAAGCCCTTCAGGACATCAAGGTCTGCTGGTTACTGCCTTATTAATGTTTAAACCTGATTTGAGCGTTAACTTTAAAGTTTTTGTTGATTTAAAGTCCATGTTTAGTTTTCAGTTATCCAGAATTTTGTGACACAACAACAATACCTCTGAATGTTAATATTATACGATTCTAAAACTATATTCAGTGCAATGTTTTGCCAATCTGTTTCTAACAAGCCCCCCAATATCTAAATCTGAGCATTGAAATATGTTATGCGAGGCAACTATGATGGGTATAGTAGCTTCATTATGGTTAAGGTAAAGTATAGTTAAGGTTTAGCAGCGAAGTCACTCGGTTAAGGTTAGAAAATGATTGTAGTTCAGGTCAAATATAATGCAAAAAAACATGAATTGCAGGCTTTTGAACAGACACGGCATACTGTCTCCATAACACAGTGTGCAGTTAGGATTTGTTTTAGTTTATCTGTAACATTTGGGATAATAATAGTCATAGTAATTACATTAATTACCATTTCACATCCACCCCCCCCTGCTATATATGGGTGCACTACTGCCTACATATTAAATGTTGATTTATATGAATAAAGGGAAGTATAATCATGAGTACTTTGTTCAATTCCTTTTTTAATTTTCACAGTAACAGCCCATCTAATATAGATACAATTAGTTTCAAATCACCAACCTCACAGGTCTGATATCACCTGACATCACACGTATTAAAGGCTCCTGCTGCTGCTCCCTGAGTACACCATTTACATGCAAACAGTGGGATCAACTTGTTGATTCCAGTTTCCATCTTCATTAAGAGAGATGAAAAGTACTTTTAGTATAATTACTGTTAGCTGTATTGCACTGGAAAGGCAAATGACCAAATGCTCCCACAGGCAGTAAAATGTCCATGTTGGCAGCTGGTTACAATAAGTATCTTCAAGTGTGGCTCTGCCTGCCGGATGGCCTGTCGAAAATTATAAGTGGAGCTTCTTCTCCTATAAATCTAAAGCTCCTCTCTCTCTTTCCCCATCTGCCTGGCTTTCTTACTTGTCTCCCTCTCCTGACACCTCTCCCCACTCCAGCAGCAGTCGTCTCCTACTCCCTACCTCTGAACTATTTCCCTTACACCTCAGGAATTTCATTTTCTCCAACTTTTAGTCCTTTCTCTCCTCTCTCCCTGACTACTTCGAGTTCTGCAAAAGAAAAAACGACTGAAGGTTGATCCATTAAGTTTCTTATTGTCACAAACCAATCTCTGAGAAAACTACAATCCTACCTCCAATCTAATCCCTGCTATCGCCACAAAAAACGTACCGAGACCTGAAATCTGTACTGACTGCATCCTCTCCCACACTGGCACACACTCATGATTACACTTCCTCTCATTCTCAAACCTTCCACCTCTCTCCTCTAGTCTCGAGTGAATGGATTTGAGCTGTGCAACCGGGGCAGCAGCATTTTAAAGAATTAAGGCAAGAACTCAAGGATTGATTTAACTCACAGAAGAGATTTAGTTTGGGTGAAAATAAAAAGTGGTGAAGTAAAAGTGCAGCTTGATATAGTGCATATACACGAAAATAAATATCATATTTTTGGGCTCATAATGGAACATGTGGGACTCCAGAACAACAAAGAAAATATATTCACACACCGCTGTTTGGCTGGTCGAGGTTGTGATGCAAACATGAATTTCTAAATGTTACTCTGCTTGACTAATTATAAAGTATATGTGAGCTATGATGTATGCCCTTAGGACAAATAATGAATGTTTTGTCTTTTGGAACAGTCATTACTGTTTTCATTGGGTAAAATATGAGTACATGAATCATGTCTTGCCCCCTAAATCTAAGCTTCTTCCATAATAAAGTCCTCCTCTTTTTTCTCTTCCCATCCAAAACCCACATCGATTAATTAATTTCCTGAGCATGGGAAGCTGTAAAGAGCCCGGTGCAGATGCACAGCGAGGTTTTGGGCATTGAGAGAGCCGACTCGTGCCAGGATTACTGCTGAGTCTGGCCCCATGTTCAAACAGACCCTATCAAATTATACAATTGAGTTGTTTGAATACAACAGTGCTGCTTTCGCCGTCATTCTAGCACAGATTGAAAAGTTCAAGTGTCAAGGTTTTCCCAACCATGAAATCAACTTATCCAAGATACGATGGGAGGGAGGCGTGTGGTGCAGTGGGTTGTTCAAACCCCACTGCAGTCAGCATGTCGTTGTGTCTCTGACACACTTCGCCCCAAATTGCTCCTGTGGGGATTGCCCACAGTATTGAGTATGTAAATCGCTTTGGATAAAAGCGTCTAACAAGTGACATGTAATGTAATGTAATAATGTAATACGAGTCTCAGTCTGTCCCATAAACCATTACTTGTATTTGTTTTTCTGATCTCTTGAATTATACTATCTTATTTGTCCGTAAAAGAGGTGAGGCGAGAAATGGATAAAAGTAGATTTTGGGTTAATCGAGCTGAGCTAAAAGGAAATACAGAATACTGAGTGCTTGAACTCTCCGTAATACTGTTTGTATTCTCTGGAACAAAAAAAGGAATCTTGCAATGCACTCCAGCACCAAGTGAAAAATGGCAGTCTGCCACTTTAACATGAAGCTGCTAAACCAAGAAAATAAAGAACCTAACCTTTGGACCCAACAATCAGTGTGTTACATATTTCCCACGGAAAACATTTAAAATACAACAAATAAACAAAAGCCTAAGGATGGTATGATGAGCTTAAAACAATGGGAACAGAATTATAATATGGTTATTGCAGCAATGAAAAACACAAAGTTAATATTTTAACAAGCTATAAGTAAGCCCCAAGATCCGAACATGCAGTTATGAACGTTTTTGGTCTTTTCCACAGCAGAAACTTGACAACCTGCAACATGAACCTTTAAATAACCAATTTTTGAAAAACTCATTAGGCTTTGGTGCTAAGTTCGGCTTAATGTTTCCACTGTTTTGTAAATCTCAACATTTTAGATACGCTTAGCTGAAAAGGCAACAGCAACTTTGAACATTGATTATAAAGGGAATAGATGCCATTTTGATGCACTGTGTGATAGGCAATAATAGAAGAAGCCCAATTTAATAAAAAAAAATGTTTGGGTTATTTGTGAATTTGAGGTGGAAAATTGTATGCCACCATATACAGAAAATATTCCAAAACAGGAAAGAAAACATCATGAAGTAGAGAGATTTATAAATCAGGTCTATGGGAGGAAAATGAGCCTCTAGTGGTGGATCTAATTTTGGCCCGCAGGATAATTTATAATGACTATTAGATCTGGCCCGCCGGTATATTGCACGCACACCTTTACTCCATCCTGAGGGTCTCCTCAGCTCAGAGCCTGACCCCAAACATTGATGAACTTGCACCCAAGATGAGATGCCAAGTATCTGCTTGAGCTAGCATCACAGAGCAGCACACTGAGTTTAATGGATGGTTCCTTCTGCACTTTCTTTCTTGAGACAACAGGGTATGTTTGGTTTTTTCTTTGAGGGAAATTGTTTTGTTGAAGCTGTTGTTGGCCTGTGGAAAAATGTAATCATAAGAAATGACTCCGGAAAAGCTGCAGATAGAGCCATAAGAAATTAATGCAACTGATTATTTAATGATTAATGTTGTTTTTATAGGCAATAATTTAAGCTTTGTTAGTTCCAGGTTTAATATGTGCAATAAGTTCATTTCAATAAGTTTTGCAATAAACATTGAACCGGTCCGGCCCTCGACGAGTACCGATTTTTTTTATTTTGGCCCACTGTGTATTTGAGTTTGACACCCCTGCTCTAGTGCAACAACAATACCCACTTTGCTGTGTTGGTGCAACAAGTGATTTCAGTAATTAAATGCTCATGTTACTGCTCTGTTTGTTGACACATGACACTTGCTTGACTAATCACAAATGAAAGCACTGCCTTCACCCCGTGACAGTAGCTGGGAATTGGAATAAGTATTTACTAGCTAGCCTGGTTCTGTCAGGTTGAAAACATTTTCCCAACTAGCACCTGCTTTGGACAGAGTTGTTTACTGTCTTTAAGCCACACTAATCAACAGCTGTAGCTTCATGTAACAGACAGATAAGAGTCAGAGTGTTTTACTTTTGGCAACAAGGCAGAACAAGTTAAACCTATGACAAGCAATAGTTTTACAATACAAATATGTACTTTCTTGCCAAGGGATGAGAAGATTAATACCTCTCTATCTGTACATATCAAGAAACACCTAGCAGCCAAATAGCTCAGCTAAGCATACATAATACTTAAAACATGGGAAAACAGCTAGTCTGGCTCTGTCTGTAAGTTGAAGATGCTACGTTGGAGTGAACCATGTCCTGTTTACTGTCTTTATGCTAAGCTATCGACTGCTAGCTGTTGCTTCATTTAACTGACAGATATAAGACTCAGTGGTTTTGATTTTCTCATCCAACTCTTAGTAAGGATTCAATACCTATATTTCCTAAAGGTCTATTTCTTCAAGTTGCTTGTTGCTGAGTTCCTGCTGTAGGAAAAGTATGTTTAAGTGTTAACCTTCAGTCTATGGTGTTAACCCCTTCTTGATTAAAGCTCCACAGCAAAGCAGCAGCTACACCGTTACAGGCACCAAGCCATGCAGAGGATTTTACATTTGTAAGGCAAATCTGTTAGTATGTATATTCACACCTCCCTGGGTTACAGGAGGATCCTCACACAATGTAAATATGTCGGAAATGTCATGCGTTAATATTTCATGCAGTTTATGTGACACAGGACACATCCTCTGAATCCTCTCAAGTGGTTTTGCTGAATACAAATTGAGTTGAGGTGAATGTGTTCATGTAGCTTGTTTTAGAAGATTTTGCACAGTAGTAATCTGTAATAAATCTCCCATCTATTGATCCACCTGCAGCTACAGTCCCTCATTATGTCCACCTGCAGAGCGAATATAAATGTCATCCTTCTTCTCTGGTTCATCCAGCCATTACCATCAGTCTTCACCCAAAGATTCTCCATTAGCAGAGCTGGGAAGTATTGGAGTACAAATACTTTGTGACTGTACTTAAGCAACATTTGTTGGTATCATTACTTTACTCCACGACTTTTTACTTTTACTTCTTACATGTTTAACACAAATACCTGTACTTACTACTTCTTACATTTTCCAAACAGGCTGGTTCCTTTAATTTGAATGTGTGTTTGGCGGCGTGATCATTATTATTTAGAGTCATTGCGTGCCTATTGATTTGAACACGATCCGTGTATCCATCATTTCCTGGTCTTCTCTAAAGAAGAGGGACCAATGAAAACGTTGTCATGTTGCCGTTGTTCAGCATGGAAACATTCATTAGCTAACAATGACATTATTGTTCTATTAATATAAAGGGAGGTCAGGTACTCTTTAAAACAGCTGGTAGCTATGGGCACTTTTACAGTACATTTCGAAGCCCATACTTCTTTACTTTTACTTGATTAAAGAAGTTTAGTCAGTACTTCTACCAGAGTATTTTTAAACACGAGTCTCTATACTTCTACTTGAGTAAAAGATGAGTGTACTTTTGCCATCTCTGTCCATTAACAGTAGGCGATGTGTTGTGACAACGTGCATGCCTCATGGTTACTGTGGCAATGTCGCAGCCTCTCCTGTGTCTAATTGCATCTTTGATCCCAGCTTGAAACCTAGCAACCTTGTTAGCCCTGTTTCCCCCTGGCAGCAGCAGAAGCAGGCGTGATGGCACTCACGCTGGCAGTGACCCCAGGAGCGGCGCGTCCACCCCCAGCAGCAGTCCACTCTGGCCCCGTACCGACACAGGCCGCTGGACGAGGCCATCTGCCGCGGCCACCTGTGTGGGGATGACAGTATTAGTTCACAGCCAATTAAAATGCCTTGATGAAAAGCAGGGGTCTTTCAGTGTTGTTTGGAAGGTTTCAAAGCAGATTCATGTTCATGCTGTTCAAGGATTCAAGGCTTTAATTGTCATTTGAACATAGCTACAGTGTAGTTATGACAATTAAGTTATTAGGTCACAGGCTCCTCCAACAGTGCAACACAATACAACAGATAATAGTGCAAGTAAATCAAATATAATATAATATAAATAGTGCAGAATAGTCTGTATACAAGTAATTGTAATATTGATATATTTAAGATGCTAAATGTTGCAAACAGCTGTAGAGAGAACATTTCGTTTTGTTTGGAAGGTCTCAAAGCAGATTCATGTTACTGCTGTAGAGAGAACATTTCGTTTTCGCATTAATAAGAGTCTTTTTTCTGATTTAAGAGTCTGAGGATTATAAGTGTCACACGTTTTTTAAAGCCATAATTGATTATAAAGCCCTTGAGCAAATGTGTGTTTGGGTCACATTTCATTATATGATAAAACCTAGTCTTTGTCAATGTTTTAAAAATATTTAATATCTCTTCGATAGCAGCAAAAAAACGACAATGATGTCGAATGTACTGTAGTTCTGATGTGAGCAAGAATTAAAAGGTCTTGATGAGAAGCAGGGGTCTTTCAGTATTGTTTGGAAGGTTTCAAAGCAGATTCATGTTCCTGCTGTAGAGAGAAGTTTTCGTATTAATAAGAGTCTTTTTTCTGATTTAAGGGTCTGAGGATAATAAGTGTCGCACATTTTATAGATTATAAAGCCCTGAAGCAAATGTGTGTTTGGGTTACATTTCATTATATGATAAAACCTCATATTTGTCAATGTTTTAACATATTTAGTATCTCTTCAATAGCTGCAAAATTAGGTCAGTTGTACTGTACTTCTGTTGTAAGCAAGAATGAAGATGTCTTGATTAAAAGCAGGGCTCTTTCAATGTTGCCTGGAAGGAGACTTCAAAGAGTTCAAATCATTTATTCAATGTTCCTGCTGTAGAGAGAACAAACTCTATTATACTTTTTCTTTTGCATGAATACAAGTAATCTTTTTCCTGTTCCTAAGGTGTCACATGATGTACCGATGGTAACGCCCTTTGAGGGAAAAATGTGTCATTTATAATTGTGAGTTACATACAGACTAAATCTAATCTGTGTCAACAAAATGTCTAAATACATAATATCTCTTCAATAGAAATGAATAGCCAAAAGTCACATATAATGTTCTTTAGTTGTAAGTAATAAATGTCTCAATGAAAAGCAGGGGTCTTTCAATCAATTCATTTCATTTTCCTGCTTCAGAGAGAACAGACCATTATGGTTTCTTTTCTTTTTTGTGTCTGTTAGGTTTAGAGTTTAGGGATAGAAGGTGTCACACGTTGAACATAAAAATAAAACAGACACAATCTAATCCGTGTCAATGTTCCTTTATCATGTCTTCAATATCAATATAGAGCAAAAATACTGTCACACATCAGTAAGATATTGAAAAATGACTATAACACTCTCCTAGATCCCAAGGTGACTTATTCAGATGTCTTTTTATTCAAAAGGCAAACGATATTCAGTTTACTATCATATAAGAAAGAAACAAATGGTCACACATGAAAGGATTGGTTCAGGAAATATTTGCTTGAAAACTGAATAAAATACAAAACGAAATTGTTGGCTGCCAGCTGTCATCTCACTAATTCCCTATAGCAGCTTTCCTCTGCAGAATGGGAAATATAACTGATAGCACATCAGATTGTGTTGGTTTGTGCGATGTCAAACTGGAGACCCTTGTTGAAAGCATGCCAGACCCAATTTGAATTCAGCATTCAGCGAGTATCAGTGCACCGCTGACACTTACATCTGAGAAGACCACATTACTGTAGCGTTCATTATAAGGCTTATGAAACAGAATACAAGCTATGTGCCGCCTGATGCCCTTGAACAAATCCAGCAGCCTCGGTTTCCTATCTCCATCTATAGTAACATGTGATCAGAGCATGTGTCACTTCGCTATATGTGTTTTATCAGGCAATTTAATGACAAGATAATATCATTCCTGCTACAGGGAGAACATGCAGGTGTAAGTGTTTGTAGAAATATATGTTATTTTCCAAAGCACTGCAATTCCTCCTGACAAATTACAGCCGGATGTTTTTGTTACACCATGTCCTATTCTGCTCAGAGCAAGAAATAGCTTCTTGGCAGACCGTGCATGTGGATTACCTTTTCATCTGTAGCAAGGCTCACCACATATTTATGGAGAGAATAGGGCAAAGGAATGAGTCCATTTAAGGAAACTGATGAAATTCAAAGCAGCATGTGTTTAAAGGCTGGCTCTGAGGACATGGTACCAACAATCGAGAGAATAGTGAATACATCAGAGGCAAGTAGATCATTGAATACATTGGATATTTAAAGGTCACCTATTATGCAAAATCCATGTCTCTTCTACATCAACATGTGTCCCCTCTGTGGAAAGAGATTCTGAAAGTTTCAGGAAAAAAGATTCTCTCTCTTTTTGTCCTGATCCATTTCTATAAAAACCTGTCTGAAAATGAGCTGATCAGATTTTGGCCACTTTATGATGTCATAACGATTTGTTGGCTTGTGTAACCATTAGCCAATCACCAACCAAGGTAACCCTTATCACCTGAATCTCCTCCTAGAGTACTATTGAGTTATTTATAACCAAATATCTCTCTGATACCTCATTCACACCAACGCAACTCCGTGCTAGAGCTTTTCAGGTTCAGAACCGGTTCTTCGGTTTAGCTCCGGCTCTTTTCACACCGCCCAGACTCCGACTGGTGCTGCGTCATTGCGTCTTCGTTTGCGTCATGACGTAACCGTTTGCATGCCTGCTTCATAAAGCCAAACTGCGCGGAAACCCCTCACAGCTCACACCGACAACAACAACAATGGCCGATTGTGTTGAAGCGCTACTCGTTTTGGTTTTGCTCTGACGAAACGAAATGGAAGAAATGGGACGACTTTACTACCAACTTTACAGTCGCTACATTCAAAACTGCTTTACAATCGTAATCATCAACTTCAACGACGATTCCGATTCCCCCTGCCTCGACGTAAGCGCGACGTATGCGGTGCTTTTACTCTAGCCGGACCATCTTTTGGTGCTTGAAACGAACCGGATTCCGGAGCTAAGAGGCTGCTCCGCTGCGGTGTGATCTTTAAAAGGACCTAACCAGACAATGCAGGAAAGTATGTGTAACAATGTGATCCAAAACAAAAGGAGAAATGATCTTGATTTACTTCCTTTGCCCAGGATATTCTTTATTTGGTGATAGTGAGATTGGTGTTCAGTATTCATGGCACATTCTTTGCCACTATCCCTGCGTGTTAGTGTCTCTGTGCCAAGACGAGGAAATGCTAATGCTTGCCCCTGCTGCCAATCACCTCATTGGAAAAAACCTCCTGATGGATGCTAAGTGAGAGTGGCAGATCCAGGGAAAATGTTTTTCTGCACCCTGGAAAGCAGACATAGTATGGGAGAGGATAAGTACGGAAGAGAATAAGGAGCGAGGGGAGACAAAGGAAAACAAAAAAAGGATATTAAAGAGAATTCAAGGAAACAAAAAGGGAAATTAAGGAGAGGAAAGGAAATGAAAAATAAACTAAAGGAGGGGAGAGGTCTGGACAGCAGCCATATTAAGATGCCACTATCTTTGCAAGTGACATGCAGCCACCCACACACGCAGCCACACACACACACACACACAAATACGGCAGCTGCTGTCCCTCCATACTGTAAATGTGTAACATACAACAGGACTATCCCTGACTCTGGCAAACTTCACATCATTTCAAGGATGGTGGCACTTCAAAAACAAAACACTGCTCACCCCCTGCTTCTGACGTTCGTGTACACATGCCGTTTGAAATGTATTCCTCAGTCTCCATAAGGTAATTATCATTATAGAATATGGAGGCATAATGTAGAAAGAGTTTATGCCTCTATGGCTGCACCTGGCTCTTTATTACCTCATTTCCTTTGCAGTTATACGATAATACAAAGTTATGATTGCGCTAGATGACTCCCAGTAGAAAGCAGAAATCGTATAAAGGCCATATGAAGTTGAAGCTAATTGGCTGCATATCTTTGTAAATAAACAACATCTGGCAATCAACAATGTTTCACAAAAGGCTCTGTTGTGTTGAATAGATATTTTTGAATTACAGAGCTCCATCAAAATGTGAAAAGCAGTCAAGCGTCCAGGTTTTGTCTTCTTTACACAATCTTTGTACCGTAATGATCTTAACAAAATAAGTGCTTACCACAGCGCTAATCTTGTTTCTTGATCTTTTAATCTAGGATTGATTTTGTTTTCATTTTGCATCATCGAAACAAATCAGCAAATTCTCTCTTCCTCCTCTTCAGAAGTCTTTATGTCTCCACAAGTTTCTTTGAAACAGTGTTGATTGCCAGATGGTATTCAGAGAGCTGATACAGAGATATGCAGCCAATTAGCATCGACTTTACATCAAAGCAAATCTAGTCGCCTTGTGTGACTTTGCTACTTGAAAGTTATGTGATGGAAATGTCCTCATTTGCTATTCCAATTACTTTATTTCATTGTATTCGAGTGAAGAGCCAAACACGTGTTTTCTATGGCTCAAATGTGAATATGTGTCCTCTATGAGACTACATTAAATAGATGTATTGTTTGGACTGTTGCTTTAACAAATCAAGTAATTTGTAAATGTCAACTCAAGCTCTGGGAAACTAACTCTTCTGACATTTAGAAAAACTAAAATCATAAATCACACAAGTGAAAAACAGGTTGTTACATTTAGAAAACAATCATGCATCGCAAGCAGCCTTCATATTTGTGTTTGTATATTAAAAGGAGATCAAGCTCAATGAAATGTAAAACCATCATCATATTGGAATCAACAGACATATTAAGCAACCATAATAATCAGATAGAACCAAAGTTAATGGTCTTTTTTGGCAATTAGATTTGTTGTAACATTGTAACATGTTTTCTCACCATGCAAGGACGAGGACGGCAAGGACTTTAATCACATGACGGCAATAAAACAATGAACAAAAGGAGCAGAGTTTAAACTCCTACAGATTCCCAGTGGATTGTGGGTGAAAAAGAGTGTCTGAGATTAGCTAGCAGCTGTAAGAGCGATAAGGAGACAAGGACATCAAGAGATGCAAAAAAGGTCCTACATTTCTGAATCAAATACTTCACTGACATGCTTTCTCCTACACACTCCCATATTAACACAGGCACACTGAAGTGAATATGGAATCCAGTTTCATGTTCCCAGTGCTGTCTCTGTGCCGAGTTCAGCCAGAGGCATTGTAACATGCTCTGAACTTGAACAGAGAATGTAATACAATGCAACAGCTCACCCATTCATACCACTGCAGCAATGTCTAACACACATTTTCTCAGAAGATTTTAGAACAAAATCGAAAAAAAATCGAATTGAACAGAAAAGAAAAGCGTTCTTTCAGATACATTTTGTCGCCAGTGATATTTTCCTGAGCCGAAAGCTGGCATATCAAATAGGCTTGAGCATAATACCTGTATTTATTATCTTGGAGCTCTGAATAATGATCCTCAAATTACACGAAGCCTTGAAGGAACTGAAGCAGATAATTATTACCCTTCACACATGCCGTGGACACCTCTTCTCAAACTCACACTGTCTGACAAGGTTCTTCCAGGAGAACTTGAGAGGGTGATTCTCATTCCCATCCTTCTTCTATTGTTTTACTAATGGATACAGAGCAGTGAAGAGCAGTCAGTCCATCGCTCGGAGCAGCAGTGTGATAATCAGGACCATGAAGGTGTATCATTTAATCTATCCATCTAATCCATCCACGAGTTCATGCCAAAGCATTGCAAAGCGTGACTGTTGAATGGATTTCTCTCACACACACCCACAGATGTCGATTGCTGCATTTGTAACACCCGGGTGTGAGAGACGTGCTCGGACCTGCCAGAGTTTGTGGAGTCAGAAGGTGTCTGGCCCAGCCATACCCTGACCGCAAATACCTCATTCCTTCTGTCTACTTGGATCCGAAATGCTTCTCGTTTTGCGCTGTCCTCCCGTTCAAATGAAATCGCCGCCAATCATATTTCCAAGCTCGCGCCAGGGGGGGAGGGGTTACAAGGCTCGCGTCTTGTGCTGCATTCACTTGCATTCGTACATTAGAGATTTTCTCTCGTAAATGTCCGATGAGCCACAACTTTTCTTTCAAAACAAAGCTGCCAACTGGGGTGGCAGCTGGGGTGGCAAGGCATTTTTCTGAGGTGGCAGCTGCCACCCTGTGCCACCCCATTGAACCGCCACTGCTGGCGTCTTAATGAAGCTCGCGCTGCCAGACCTGCAGCAGACTGCCAATTCTATCACGTCAACACACATCACCACGTGGGATGTTGACAAATATCTGAGGTAACGATTTAAAGGGAGAAATAGCCCGTTAAAAAATGTGTTTCTGTACAAAGGAGACAAAGTGGAAGGTGTTCACAGAGTGGCCGGTAATATAAAAGACCTTTATGATGTAATGCGATGAAACACAGTTGTCGTGCATTAACAGCTTTTCTTTGTAGACAGCTGTGAAGTTGGAACAGGCGTTTTGAACTCAATTATGTGGCACTTATCAGTGTGTGTGCACTTTGAAAGAGACCTTTTTTGACAGATATCCACCTCCTCATCGGAGAGAAATGTTGAAACGTCCAACGATATTCTGAAATTCAATATAGCTTTTTTCTTTATTTTTTTCTACATTATGTTAGATTGTTTTGGCAGACCTTTTTTCTTAGTGACGTACGATAAGTGCATTCAACCTTTGAAAGATAAAGAGGAGGATCTTGTAAAAAAATGTAAGTGCACTCTTTCCAAACCAATGGCTAAAAGCATGTTCAGTGCAGCAGTACAAGTAATTACAGGATGTTTTCTCGTAAATTGAATAAAATGTTTGGTTCGTCTGGATGTAGCCTGAAAAGGCTTTGTGAGAATAAAGAGGGACAGTGACTCAGATTCAACACCAACGACTTCAGCATATAAAGAAATGTCCACAGAATCAACGCTGGCAAAGAGGTAAACACAGTATTCAGGTACACATGTCTGGGATAGCTAGGCAGGCAACAAGCCACCTAACCCTCCTGAAGATTTTTTTTATAATATGGACCGAGCAATATGTAAATGTTAATTGGTATAGTGAAATTAAACAAAGTACTTCCCATGAAATGACTAAAAGTACACTGTCATGGGTACAAATGGTAGTAGGTTTCCTTGTTCATGTTGCACTTATTTTTAATATAACGTTAGGTGTCTTAATTCATATCAACTTGTTCCCAAACAGTCCTATTTGATGAGTTCAATTGAAAACATAGCAGAGGGGAAAGAAGTTGAATTGATGTTTTCTATCGGGGCCTGAGAAAGTTGTTTTGTGAGGTACATCCCTTAAGACAAAACTGAAGCATCCGTCATCAGAGTCTGACGTCACGTATTGTTCACTGTCAGAAAACATATGGCATGCGGTTACGCTTGAAATCTCCTCTATGGCTCATAAGAAAGATGTCGGCACATTCATCATTACTTCCCCACTCACATTCGCTAGATGATGAACAAAGAGAAAACTATAAATGTATTATTTTCTTCTTCTTACTGCCTATTAAACAACCCATAAAATGTGCTTTGACACTATTTCCGCACTCATTCTCAACCCCTGAAAGCCCAAATGTGGGGCTGATAGTACAAGGCCAACATTAACCTGGCACCAGTCCACGGCTTCAGATTATTACTGAGGAGGTCTGGTATGTGCTGCTTGGCTGCAAAGGCCTTAACAACGTAACGACATCACTAGAGAAGAATATCTTTACTGTATGTGTTGCAGTTGATTTAAGCTTCTTTGTAATATGACATTTATTGGCTGTTTGAAAGCTTAGCTGGAATGAAGATGGTAACAATAACAGCGCAATGTTTTAGCAACAGATTTGCAGGTAAGTATATTATGTGCAGCCATGAGAGAACAAAATGATCTCGGCAATGATGGCCGTGAAGGACCCTTCAGGATTGGATGGATAAGCCTGTTAGGAGCGCTCTCTTAAAGGCAATAAGGGAGAGACCAGGTAATAAATGTTTTTTCGCTTCTGCTCAGTCTCTGGGGATATGTTCTCAATGAATTCATATCGAGGCGGAGGCTCAGGCCCGGGCAACTTTATCCCCATAAAATTGGCAAATTATGACCGTGGTGACAAGCCACTCCATCAGCAGGGATGTTAATAATGTACAATATGCTGCTGTTAGGTTAAAGCAAATTATCTTTACACAAAGGCAATGCGTGAAATAAAAGTCAAAGCCCTGCACATCTCAGCTCATCACGCCTTTCACAGACATTATCCAAGGTTAGGGAAGAACATAAGTCCTATAACAATCATATTGTGTGCTTTCAAATTCTCAACTCTAGTTCTCCGTTATATTTCTGCCCTCTCCTTGATTCCCTCTCTCACTCTTTCACTGCTGAAACCTTTGAAATCAAAAACGTTCCTTCTGAACTGCTTTTGAACACGGCAGCAGAAAAGTGAACTGAAAGAAGAAAAAAGGGAAGAAACCTCCAGATGTCAAAATCTATCATCAAGCAGGTGGAATAGCAGATAGTCTTGAAAGAGCATTTTGAAATGTGTGCACACGATTTAAATAACAATTACCTCCAATAATATTCAAAAGGGTTTCAGTGATTTGAAGAAATGTAAAGCATGAGAGGGATACTGCTTTGGTGCTGAGCCTCCTGACAGAGATACATGAGAGAAATAATAAAGTACAACACTTGGCTGCATCACTGTTAGACATTTGGCAGTAGTACTATTTGTGTAACTTTCTCATTGTTTAGATGGTCCTCGGTCCAACTTTATTCTGAGCTCTAGAAATCCATGTAAACATGAAACACAATGGATCACAGTTTCGATTCTACACATGCTTAATCTGTAAACACAAATGTAACACATAGTCTCATCAGCATCCTGCCAAAAACCACAAATGGTGCAATTACTTTCCCACAAACTATTTATAAAGATGCCTTAATATACTTGTTTCCAAGGGAATGAGCCGGGGTTACACCTAGATAACAGCTTGGTTTTATGATGCACGATGTAAAAAAACAAAAAAGCATCCATCATGTTAATTCACTCAGATGAAGAGCACCTATAGGCAGATTTAAATCTCGGACACGTGCATTCTTCGGGGTCTGGCGCGTCTCCACACCTCTACGTTCACATACTTCATCAGATTCGTGTTTGAACATGAAGCGCCGGGCAACGTGCTGTCACATCACTTAATAATCAGCCTGATGTCTGCACAAGACAAGAGCCGCGCGGTGGGATTTTGGCACATGGAAACACTGCTTCACTCATAACAGAGTATCTGATCCGGGGCGCAGAAACAACCGGTTTGGATCATAGGTTTGGATGCACTTGGATTCTTGTAAAAATAAAAGTTAAATTGATTGACTGATTCGCCACGAAACAACATTCATACAATCTTAGTTTTGACGCACATCACAGGAGCAACATGTTTGAACTCACATCTAAATTAAGCTCCCCAGTTTGGAGATCTTAAAATAATTGTGTGTACAAGCACTCCGGAATGGTCTATCTTTAGCCAAATGCGCAGTTTTTGCAGACACAGCCTATAAAAGGATTGAACTGTGATGTAAAATCAATGTTATCTCACTAAACAATCGGCTTCCGCAGAACAATGTGAACCACGTGCCCTTACCTGCCATCAAAGTCTGCACTTGCTCCAAAGCAGCAGCTGCACAACAACACCAACTTTATCCATACATCCATGATTTCAGCTGCTCCGCGCCCACGCTGCTTGTTATTCTACGTAATCCAAAATCACCGGGTATAGGAAGCAGCGGAGGAAACAATTAAGACGAAGAAACTGCGGAGTTTCCGTGACGCACGCTGAAGGCGCACAGGTAGGAAATGACTGCGGACGTCCTTCCCTCTTCATGTGCGATATGCAGGAGGAGTGGAAACCAGTCCGCCGCCTGGAAGTGGAGTGACCCCGGTGTGTGTGTGTGTGTGTGTGTGTGTGTGTGTGTGTGTGTGTGTGTGTGTGTGGTGTGTGTGTGTGTGTGTGTGTGTATGTGTGTGTGGAGCACTCTGTCGGGAGGAAAGCGCACAGCTCCCTCTCTCTCTCCTCACAAGTTCAGTTCGCGGGCACTTCAACCAACAGCACCCACTGCAGTCAGACCCCCGTCTTTTAAATAGCCAGCGGTCAAAACACAGCGAAGATCCAGCCCAATGCTCCCCACATGTAAAGTCATGACCTGCAGCCACAGAGGAGAGGAAGAGGCTCCAGATGCAGCAGCTCGGTGCCGCGCATGCTTTTGGAAATGCTTTCATTAATTGCGCAGCCTGCTGAGGCACGCAGGTGCATCGCCCGCCCAGGTGGATGTTGTTGCTCACACAGTAAAGAAGACAATGCAGAGGGAATTACTGGGGGGTGATTTGGGACAGGGACAAAAACACAAGGAGCACAAAATGAGTGGTTTGACACTGTTTCAGGGTTTTGGATACATAGAGAAGGCTTTTGTTGAACTTGGACCTGTAATTATTGTAAATAAAAACACCAGGGATGTGACTTCTGATTGAAATATTGTTTTGGCATGATGAATCCAGATAAAGAGAGAATCTGCTTTGCGTCACATGGTTAATTCTTTGCATAACTGTAAAAAAAGAGAAGAGGAAGAAGAGGTGAAATGTGCTTTTCCTGCATGCATTTTCCCAGCATACTTTGCACAACATCTTGAACATTGCATGCACCCATATGAAAGCTTGGCCTTTAATATTCTCATTATCCAACAGAAGGTTAATTCTGCTGCTTAGGGTAATTATCTGCCTGACTCAAAGGCAGCACTTCATCTTCAAAAGCTGGTGAATTGCACTTCCCGTCTGGGGGCAGAAAGGTCTTCCTCGTTTTCTGACTTCTGCCTCGAGAAACCGAGAAGTCAGTCAATAAAATAATCTCCAGTAAGGAAGGACTCATTGAAATGGAAGGGGCAGCAGGAGAAATGACAGGGTTACTGAACGCCATTATTTTCAGCAATGGAGCAGGAGATGGATGAGATGAAGGTTTGCTGTGATTACTGCTGGTTGTTCAGTCACCGCAGCCTTTTGATGCATGGCACTGCTGCCTTGTTACGCCCTGTCACCGATCTGATAATAAATCTATACGGTGGCACTGAGGTTTTACATCTCCAGAAGCATGAGAATGGAGAAATGCCAGTTGCGTATAATTACACTATTAATCATATTATGTTCATGACTGCAATGTAAGAGTGTAATACTGTGATGATTTATTACATTTTAAAACTAGTTATGGGGTATGCATACTCAGAAGAATTATGCCTTGTTATTACCAATATTATTGGTATGTTGTGGACATTTTGCAAGGTGAGTTCACCTAAAAAAAAAATCATATTGTCTCCAGTCGTACTGCACCATGCAAAGCTTCAAAGTTTGGACTCCATAATACAAAGTTATTTTATGAAAAAGTTGAATTTAGAAGCAGTTTTTTGTATTCTATGTTTTTAGACCCATACTTTTAATATTGGTCTTTTATTATAGGCCACATATTCTCCAATTCTCGCTGCTGAATTGCATGCATATACTGTTACACTTGCTGTGAACTGTGGACTCTGTTAGAAATTAATTAAATGAAGTCATTGGAAGAAAACATTGATGTACCTTTTCAAAAACATGAAGGGGGCGGGGGAAATAAATGGCATCCTATGTAGCACTGGAATGACTCACTTACAGCCAAAGGAAGGAAAGCACAGTTGGTATCCCTTACTCCAGCCTTACCTTTCTTCAACACCAAAGTACGAAGCTTCGTTGAAATTGTCGCCAACTGCTTGTTCAATTTTGATTTGCTCCCTAGTCTTGTTACTGGATGTTTTAGTTTTTTTTAAATCAAGTGTGTTGAGCAAGTGGAACTTGTATCTATTATACATGAACCACTGACTAATTTGAGCCCGTCTCATTTAATTATTGTCACCATCTGTATGTTTAGATGTCAGTATTTGTATTTGTGGACAATGTAAAACAATTATTGGAAGAAGCACCAATTATTGAAAAACCAAACATGATATTAATGTCTGAACTACAGTACCCTGGATCTTCCAGAAAAATAGGCAGCCAATTGTGCGGTAAATACAACAAATAAAAAAGTATTTTTGAGATTTGAATGAAGTCGCTTTTTAATGAACTCTGTTGGGAAAGTGAGTCCTTACATGAGATCAGACAATGCTACAGCAGACTAAAGTAAATAATTGCAAGAATAGGAAATAAGCAGGGGAATCCCAAACTGGGGATAAATAAGGTGAAGGCAGAAGTGATAAGTAGGGGGAGAAGTATCGGGGAATAGATTACTACATGATTAGGCTGAGCACAATAACAGAAGCTGCATGAAAGAGGAAATGTGAGCTTAATTATTTGTTGTTATTCCAGAGTTCTATAATTATGCCCTATGTTGTTTATTGGGAAAAAAATACAAGTGAAACGAAAAAAACACATCACTGGTGGTAAGGCATATTTAACAGCATAGAACACATATTTAAAATAATTGAAAGGGCAGCACAGGCTCCTTGTAACAATTAAACGTGGGCTTGTATATGTTATCAGTGCCTGTTAAAGTAACGAAAGACATACCGTTTGTCAAGAGAAATTCATACGAAGGGATGAACCCTAAATATGGTGCTGCAGACGAACGTCCATAAATGCAGAGTAACGATGTGGAAAACCAAGACCAGATGTGTTTTTATCACAAGTAATAATTGGCGTTAATAAAATAATGAAAGTGCCGTTATTTCCTATAGTTAAGATTTTCTGCTGCAAGACGGTTCAGTGAGGATCTGCTTTTGAAAACCTAAACGAACGACGAGGAGTGAGTTCTCCAGAGAAGATTCCACATCAAAGTGTTAATACATGATTAATTTAAAGATGATTATTAGCGCATACATTTAGACTACTTCAGATTAAATCTACCACGCATATGAATTGTGTTAAATTGCAGAATTTCCTCAAAAAATATTCAGCTACAGCTCACACATATAGTCAACTTTTGATGTCAACAAGAGAGATACAAAACACAAATGCATCCAGTTCAATACGTGACTCTTCTCTGTACTTATTGAAATGCTTCATGAGACCAATCAGTGGAGAGAAAACATTGAAATAAACTCAGATATCTCGCCTATTTTGTGAGAGAATCTTGTTTAGTCGCCTTCCAGCGCCAAGTGTTTGGATTGAATCGACCCATTTCACACCTCAAATTCTCCCATCTTTCATGCAAGCTCGAGCCACCTACTCTCTTTCCTCTTTTGTACCTGTATGAATTTCTGTAATGTGCGCTTGTGCAGAGCGAAAAACACGAACAGGGAGTGAGACGACTCCTTTTGAAATAATTCCAGTCCTTGGAAGGAGCGGTGTCTGGCCATTCACCTCCAGATAGATTGAGTCCGCAGACTGAATTCAGATGAGCTCCACGCTGGAAAAGCCTGTGCCTCTGTTCGCGTTCCTTCAGTGTGAGCAGGAAAACTGTCTCTCCTGCTACCTCCACTGATTCCTCAAGCAGCCACAATACACTGTCAAAGAACACAGGAGTTTTCAGGGGAACAGATTAAACAGTTTTACCTCATGAATGAAAGCTTGAGGAAGTATAGTATGAATAAAGCATACTGGTTTAGAAGTAAGAAGTGTATTTTGTGATTGTTCAGCTTCTAGTCTCCGAACAGTGCACATACAATCAAGAACACCGACCTTTTTTACCGGCGTCATAAAATATTCATTCCTATTTCTGCATGGATACCATATTCACATACATTTTTTATAAGGAATAATCAGTTTTCTGTAGTACAATGACAAATGCTTTATTTGACCTGTAGTGATACGAGTTCAGTCCATTTATCTCAATGTATTCGCCTTTCGTTCTATCTGACACACACACACACACACACACACACACACACACACACACACACACACACACACACACACACACACACACACACACACACACACGACACACACACACACACACACACACACACCACACACACACACACACACACACACACACACACACACACACACACACACACACACACACACACACACACACACACACACACACACACACACACACACACACACACACACACACACACACACACACACGAGAGGTAGATAATGGTCATTCTCTATCTGATCTTTAGGCGCAGATTACTTCATAGCACTGCGTTGCTCCTGCTTGTGTTAAAGCCTGGCAGCATACTCTAGAGAGCAGACTGTTGAGTTTTAACACAGAAGGTCGTATACAGACTATTTGCAAAAACAGCATGTTGAAAGTATGGCGGGTTTAATTTGCAGTGTGTGTGTGTGTGTAATTTCTGCTGCTTCTGTTTGCGTTGACAGCTTGATCACACGGTTTAGGCACAGGCACGAACGTTGATGAGAGAATGGAGCACTCACCACGACAAAGCGTCCAGCAATTGAGCATCTGTTTCATCGCTTTAAACAAACACACAATTATTGCTTTAAGTCAGAGAGAGGTTTTATAAGTAGATGACGTTTTCCAGGTGTAATGAGAAATAACTTCCTTTATTTTCCAAGTCTGTTTCTCACAAAAATGGCTTGTAAAAAATAAGTTAAGATAAAATCAATTGTGTGGATAAAAACATAGTGGTACTCTGAGTGAGCACACAGCCAGGAGCCACTACTTCATCAAACCCTGACCGAGCTGAACTGAAGACTCCGAGCTGCTCGCAGTCCTAATTATGCAGCGCTGCTTCCTGTTGACCAGCATCGACTTCCTGTCCACTCTTGTGCGGAGGCTTTCCCAGCAGCATGTTGTTCTTTGGGGAACAGCTATCAGGCTCCATAGTCATCACCTGCAACGAGTACCCATGAGCCTCTGCTGCCCAGGAGCGGTCCAAGTCTACGAGGCCCATGCACTGCTTTCCTGCAACGGTAATAAAAAAGATATTTTAATCATTGTAAGGGACATTGTTGAAATTGAGTCTACATTCATGTTTTAAATAGGCAAACATGAACCGAAGAGCGAAAACACAAAAAACTGAATGACATGACTTTATGTTTATTGGTATAAAAACGTTCTTGATTTCATACAGCCTTGTGTTGTTTTCCTTTATTTTAAATCGTATTTATTATTTAGGACAGTAAAATAAAATGCAACAGATCCCAGTCTTAGCCACAAAGACAACATTTTCACCAGACGTGCCGCGTTACGGCTCAGAAGCGTCTCGGCGCTGGGCTCCGCTAAAAATAGGCGGCTGGTCTATTT